CCACATCCAGGCTCTGCTTAAACACCTCCAGGGATGGTGACTCCACTGCCTCCCTGGGCAGCCTGTTCCAACGCCCAATCACCCTTTCTGTGAAGAAATTCTTCCTAATGTCCAACCTAAACCTCCCCTGGCACAGCTCAAGGCTGTGCCCTCTTGTCCTACTGCTGGTTGCCTGGGAGCAGAGACCAACCCCACCCGGCTCCCCCCTCCTGTCAGGGAGTTGTAGAGTGAGGAGGTCTCCCCTGAGCCTCCTCCTCTCCAGGCTGAGCCCCCCCAGCTCCCTCAGCTGCTCCTCACAGGACTTGTGCTCCAGTCCCTTCACCAGCTCTGCTGCCCTTCTTTGGACCTGCTCCAGCCCCTCCATGTCCTTCCTGAACTGAGGGGCCCAGAGCTGGACACAGCACTCAAGGTGTGGCCTCACCAGCTCTGAGTACAGGGGCAGAATCACCTCCCTGCTCCTGCTGCCACACTGTTCCTGATCCAGGCCAGGATCCATCGGCCTTCTTGGCCACCTGGGCACACTGCTAGCTCATGTCCAGCTGCCATCAGTCAGTACCCCCAGGTCCCTTCCTGCCTGGCTGCTCTCCAGCCCCTCTGTCCCACCTGGAGCTGCAGGGGTTGTTGTGGCCCAAGGGCAGGACCCGGCACTTGGCCTTGTTTAACCTCACGCCGTTGGAATCAGCCCGTGGATCCAGCCTGTCCAGGTCCCTCTGCAGAGCCCTCCTGCCTTCCAGCAGATTGACACTCCCCCCCATCTTGGTGTCATCTGCAAATCTGCTAATGGTGGACTCAATCCCCTCATCCAGATCATCAGTAAGGATATTAAATAGGACTGGGCCTGACATTGATCCCTGGGGGACACTGCTAGTGACTGGACACCAACGGGGAACTGGCCATCAACTTTTCTTTCCCTTTTTTTAATTTGGTGGGGAGGGAAATAAATGAGCCGGCGTCAAGTTGCTAGATGGGATCTGTAACCTGCCCGCTCCGGCACGCACGGGGAGGGATAGATTTCCACACACTGTTTGCACAGATGAAGTGAGTAAGTAGCTCCCCCCCGTTTGTTTTCATAAGCTTTTAATATCCTTTTTTTTAACTGATTTTCTCAGACTTAAGTGCTGTCACTCAGCTTCCCTTCACCATCCAGAAGCAACAATGCTTTGTAGCTTCTCTCCTCTTTTATTGCCAACTTAAAATCTAAAGTCCCTTGTTATAATTTGGGGTGGAAGCTTTAAAACTCCCAAACTGGACCAGCACTTAAATGTATCAGCACCTTTACAAAACAAGAAAGAAGAAAGATAATGGTAGACAAATAAATACCTGAATCCAACAGTGTGAAAATACCCTGTCACAGCATAAAACTATTCCCTGTTCAACTAAAGACAATGTGGATACTATCCCTGAGGTAGCAGCCATCTCTGGTCAACTTGAGAGCTCCAAGAATAGGTTGTGCCCGTTATGGGTTACCAAAAATAAAAAAAAAAAATCAGCTTTTGGATATTTATTCCTTCCTGTAATTTCATCTCACCACAGCCAGAAAATAAGAGGGTTTTTGGGATCAGCTGAGAGGGTTGAATTAGTGGAACTATTTGCTTGGAAAAATAATAAAGGATGAGATTCCTACCCCAAATGTGGGTGGTTGCCAGCAGTTTGCACTGGATCCAACACCTGCCCATTACCCAGTGGTTTTATCCCTGGGCAGCAGTTTGGATGAACCAAGGACAGGCTGTCCCCCAGGCTGAAACCAAACACAAACTCTTTTTTTGTTCTTTATTCCTTCTCATTTCACAGATTCAAGGCCAGACATACTCTAAGTGACACTTTCCCAAGTTTTTGGTTGTCACAGCTTTGTGTCCAGCCTGGCTCAGGCACTGATGTACAGCAAGAAGAGCTGTCATGTGTCACTTCTCCAGCTGAGAGGCACAAAGCCAGAACGTGCCATTTTGAGTGGGTTTTTTGCCCAGTTTTGTGCAGTTGGATAATTCAGGGAAGACCATGTCCTCCTGATGGATCACCAGACTTCAGCCCCAGCCCTTCGTGGGCTGAGTTGCCGCAACCATCTACATTATGTCCCAATGGTATGGATTGAAAAGAGTGGAAAAGAAACCCCAAAAAAGAGGAAAAGCTAAACTTCTAAAAAATAGTCTTTAAAGATTTACATCCATCTTCAACTGTCTCAAACCAACACAGAATCTGCATTGGTTTAAGCCACCACATTCTGCATAATTAAAAAAAAAAAACCAAAAGAAAAAGCTTACTCTTGACATACTATCGTGTTCCAACTAGTCAAATGGCACAGCATTTCCCTTTAATAAAAGGAAGTAGTGACAAATACTTGTTACTATTACAATATCACAATAATATGATATTAAATTAATAGCATGTTCACAGCTTCAGGAAGTCTGAGCTGAACGCTACTCTAGGTTTTGTGTTCACTTTGGCAACGGTACTTATTCAATGTGAACGGTGACGTTACACACACCAAAAAAAACGATAACAAGAAAAGCTGGGCTGGGGTGGGAGTGGGATGGCAGGAGAGAATCGAGTTGTCTTTGATATGAGGTTATAACTTGAGCTATTTGGTGTCTCCTCCTCCCTCCTGCCCTTTCCATCCTCCAGCTCCTGCAATGGGCTGTGCTATCTGACTCACATGACGCTGTCCCCCCACGGTCCCTTCCCAGGCTGTCTCCAGGTCCAGCATCACAAAAGGGAACATCCCCCCATTGTCCTTGGGAGCAGGGATCGGTCTGATGGCCCATCCAGCCTCTTTGGTGGAGTGGGGGGAGGCTGTTTGGGGGCTTAACACCAAAGTTTAACCCTTCACATCTTTTTTGTCCTGCCTGATGTCAACAGGAAGAGGAATTATAATGGGAGGGGGCTAGGAACACTGAGCCTCAAGAGCTCCTTGCTCTCGAGGTTGGTGCCATTCAATCTGCTAGGGCCAAGGTGGATGATGTGGAAGGGCAGAGTCCTACTCCCAGCTAACCCGGCCCAGCATAGGGAAGAGGCATTTGCTCATCCTCCTGTGTGTGGTATTATTTGCATGGCCATGGGCAGCATCCCACTGTCAGCTGGGCAGGTGATGGGGGATGTTTCTCACACAAGGGACTCTCCCACTGGTACCATTTAAAAAATACAATTAATACTTTTTTTAAACTTAAACTCATTTCCTTTCCTGATTCCTTTCACTGTCCTTGCAGATACGGCAATGTTTGATTTACCACCACTTACACAGAGAGTTCAAACCTTCACATTCGCCCGGATTGAACCAACCCACGTGGCAGGGAACAGGCACCATCCCTGCCCCCATCTCACCCCAGGGTCGATGCCGGTCACACACCGACTCACGAGGCTGCACCACACCAGGACAACCCAACCCCCAAAGAGGCAGTTTGGTGGTTGATCCCTGGAGGGGACAAACCCTTTCTTTGGTGTCAGGAGCTCCTCTGCCCACCATGGGCATCGGGAAGGGGCGGCTGCTGGCAGCCCCCAGCATCCTCCTCGCCTTGTCCCTCTCCCAGGGAACTGAGCCCTTTTTGGCTCCACTCATCCTCTGGATGTTCTCCTGTGGCTGGAAATGCACTGGAGGAGCTGGGAGCAGCTCAGTAGCCTCTCAGGGGGTTCTGGAAGTACTGTCTCAGAGTTTGCTTGCCCGTGGGCGCTCCTACAGCAAGGTGGGCTTTGGGACAAGACGCTGACATCCAGGTTGCCACCTCCCAGGGGTGTGTTATGCTGCTTATGCTGGCACATGCCATAAATCATCCTGCTGGGAATCAGCACAGTGACAAGGCAGGAAGGTGCCCTGGCTCCAGTGTTGGCAGCTGAGCACCCCATCTCTATACACCCATGATGGACTGAGGCAGCCACCACCAGCACCCAAATCAGCCCTGGGAGGGCAGCAATGCCAGGGAAAACCAGAGAGCACCACACTGCTTGTCTGTGACAGCCCTAACAATCTTTAAAGTAAAAAAACCATGACAGGAATCTCCAAAATCACACCGGAGCCCCTAAAAGTAAAGCTCATAACACTAGTGAAGCATCACGCTTCGTGAGGGGCAGGGTGGGAGAGGCAGGAATTGGGGGAGAGGAGAGGACACACACACACTCTCACACTCACTCTCACACTCTCACACACGAGCTTCTCTCATGCTTGAGGTAGAACATTGCTTTCAAAGGTTTGGAAGTGCTTTACACGGGAACGACAACAACGAAGCCGCCGGGGCGGCAGGTACAGAGCGTGACTGCTGAGGTAGGACCATGCTTGTACTGACCAAGTGCTATGCTACTTGCTTTTTGAACATGAAGGAAGACGCAGGCATTTCTGCTTCCCAGAAGACATTCATTCCGGTTGAGGTAGGTTCTGAGTTCACTCGGGTTTCTGTCCAAGTCTTTCAGTAGCCCTCAGGCATCCTTTGACACACACACTCTTTTTTTTTTATTTTTCTGCCTTTTTTTTTTCATATTATTTAGAGTCAATCAGCAAAAAAAGTATCCTGAGAAATAGCGAAAGTGTACAAAGTCATCAAATCCACAGAGAGACAGCCTTCCTGGGCTTCGATTTTTGGAGTCAAGTTAGAAGGATTTCTCCAAATCCAGTCTTCTGGAAATAAAAAATAGATCCAAAAAGTAGTCCTAAAGCTGCTGATCAGGAAAAAGTCTGGGATGCCAGGAGACAGAGGCTCCACCATATTCCCAGTCTGTAAGAGACAGGAGAGTTTGTCAAACTCTGCCAAGGAGTCTGTTACTTAGCAGCTGAGGGGAAAATTCATTGTGACCAGTCTCCGTGAAGCCACCATCGGAAGAAACACACCGAGAGGCTCGAGGGAGAGGTCAGAAAGATAAAACTTCACAGAGTTTCCAAAAGGCTGTATACATATATATATATTTATATATATATATAAAAATAAAGCAAAACAAAAAAATAACAATCAGACCGTAGAAATCTTCAATTGACCTGAGATTGACAACTCGTAAAGACATCACCAGCCGCGGGTTTGGTTTCTGGTAACTCCCACAAGAGGCTTCGAGTCTTGGCAGTTTTATCCTTCATTGGCGGGACCGTGGTTGGGAGCTGGAGCAGGGGGGCTGCTGCCACGGGGGGGTTTTGGGAGGGCGTCTGGCTGCTCCTCGATGATGCTGAACTCGTCCAGAGGGAGTGTGGAGATCTGGGTGTCGTCGTGGGGGGTCGGCGGGCTGTGAGCCGACTGGGGAGAGAGAAAGGGACAGTGCAGTGACAACGTCTGATGCGCTCAGCCATGCAGCCAGGTGAGCTCCCATCGCGCTGGACTTACCGTCATTCCCTTATCCTGCTGCTCCTGGGATGGGGATGCTGGGAATAACCTCTCCAGCTCGTTCATATCCAGCTGCTTTCCGTTCAAGTCCCGGTCGTCCCTGTCCCTGCGAGCGGCCCCGTTCAGGACGAGGCTTGCGGCGCTCCGCTGGCTCCTGGGGATCTGTGGGGTTGAGAGCTGCTCCTGCACGTTTTTGCACATCAGCAGCCTGAAAAATAAAGAGATAGAGCCTGAGGGTGAGAAAGATGGTTCCTCCCCCATTCCCTCCCCCAAGCCTGAGTCTGCCTTATCCCTATGCTACATTCCTTCATCCTTCAATCCATCCTATAAAGTCCAGCATTGCACTGCGGGTGCGAGACTCAGGCAGGGACACCCACATGGCATTAGGGACCATCACCCCTTGTGAGCAGTGACATGAGCATCCCTACCTTCCTCGGTACCCGAACATGAGGAAGAGGATGCAGAATATGATGCAGGTGACGCCAATGTGGATCCCGATGATGATGCCGGTCGTGGAGGTTTTATTGTTCTGCTCGTCCTTCATGCAGTCACAGGGGGGATTCAATACTGCCAGAAAAAAGGGGGATTGGGGAGTCAGTGGTGCTTCTGTCCTATTGTTCCTCCAGCTTTTGGGGAGCCCAGAGCCAAAGTTGGAGCCTGGGCTGTGTATGAGAAGAGGATATAAAGATGCAGAGCTGGCAGGGGGGTCACTACCTGCTGAAACAGCTTCCCTGCTCCTGCACTCCAAGAAGGCACTCAGAGCAAGCACAGGACTGGAATTCCACAGTGAGCCAGCCCCACTACCCAGCTGCTGTCATTAAGATACAATAATGAACAGAAAAGACTCTGATATCAATTTTTGCCATCCCCTGTGCCCAAGGTGGGAGGTGAGAGGTGGCTACCATGCCAGAGCAGGCTGAGACCTGATGGAAAGCACTGAGCAGGCAGATGCCAGTGAGATTAGTATTTACTCCAATACAGACAGAGGAGTAATAACTATCTCTTGAAGATATTCCCACTGGAAGGCTTAAAAGGCTTCCAAGAGCAGTAGGATGTTTTTTACACATAGATGAATATGAAAGGTGTGATCAGTTAAGAGATTCCCTCTAGAGGTTTCCCCTCTGCTGCCACATAAAGCAGGACTTGTGCTCTGCAGCCATTCCCCATTCCAAAGCCACATGCCCTCCCTTTTGACCAGTGAAGGTCAAAATATCCAGGAGAGCTCCAGGAGGGTGGAGATGCTCAGTGCATCACATCCCACCTGAGGATGGCGGCTCTTAGCCTATGCATGGGGGCTTGTTCATGTTCGTGGCTTCACCTCTGGCTCAAGCTTAGGGGACAAAACTGGCAATTACAGGAATACTGGGTTAGTTTTATCCCCAAAAGTCATCAGGTTGGACTGGCCAATGGGGATGGTAGAAGCCACATGGCCAGGAAGCCACCCCAGGGCCAGCACCAGGTGGTCCCAGCCCTGCAGGGTTTTGCATCAGCACTATTTGTGATGCTGAAAATAAATGAGTGGCTAAAGGTGAGAGCCACGGGGGTCTGGGGGATGTGTCTGGCCTCACCACCTTCCTGCAGAACGGTTTCCCAAACCACCACCAAGACCCACGTCCTGCCTCACCTGTCCTCTCCACAGTTTCCCTCAGGGACACGAAGCGGACGGTGGAGTCTCCATCCCCGTGCTGGTTGTAGGCAAGGAGCTTGACCTCGTACACCACCGACGCGTCTGCCGGGGGAGACACAAGGACAGTCCAGGTGTCACCGTGAGTGAGTTCGTTTGGGAAATTAACATCTTACCAAATACACACAAGATGCTGCAAAGAACTACCTGTTCCTGTGAAAGCATTCCAAAAACCTGGGGGAGAGCTCCTGCATTTCTCATTTAGTGGTTGGGCAACACATGCCAGCTCTCTCCTGCTAATCAGGACAGACCCTCTCGGGGCGGGGGGGAACACGGAGCAGGGTGTCACCATACTCACCCAGGTGGGTAATGTTGTAGGCTGTGACGTTGCTGGCCAGCAGCACTGGGCCTGTGTACTGGGCCAGGTGGACCTTGCGGTAGTACAGCTTGAAGCCTTCGTGCTGGCCCAGTTTGATGGAGGGCTCCCACGTCGCCTGCACAGCGGTGCTGTTAATGACTTTAATAAAGAGGGATGGCATGGCTGGGACTGAAACAGAGAAAGACAGACAGTGGGTTGTATGTGCTTTTCAGTCTGCATAATGAGAAATTCCCCAGCAGCCTTTCCCTGCGGTCACTGCACCAAAGAATGTGCCAGCTGAGACTGAGAAAAATCGGAGCACATCAGAATCTGGTTTAACGGCTTTGAACTTCTTCAGGAAGCTGAAGGAGTTTCCAAGGGTTTCCTCTGCTCAGACCAGCAAGCAGAGGCTACTTTTACACTTCACTTGCAATCTGATGCTCGGCCCAGTTGGGTCAAGGCAGGAATGCAGCAATTTTGGCAAGGTGTTCTCAAATTCCACTTTTTTGCCCTCACCCTGAGGCAAGAACCTTTCACAGTGATTAATCCCCCAGGGAGGAAGGAACCAGAAGGGATGGAGCTGGAGACATCCATCTCATAAGCGTGCCAGGTACCTGCACTGGCTTGCAGGGTGCAGGGGGCTTGCTCTCCCCATCGGCTTTAGGACAGAGGTTTGTGATTCTGTGCTGGGGATTCAAGAGAGAACAGGGTCATCTTCATCAACAGCCCTAAACACCTGAGCAGCCTGAGATCCCTGCACAGCTGGGGATGGATTGTTTTGGGAGGCAGGCACTTACCTGGCCTTAGGGGTGCACTGGGGGTTAGCTGGGAAGATGTCCCTGCTGCTGCACCTGATTCAAAGTCCACCAGGATACCTTTTGCTCTGCTCAATACCCCAAAACCCTGCCCTGGTTCTTGGGGTGTGCTGTAGAGGGGGGCAGGCCATTCCTTCCCCAGGTCCCCAAAAAGCTGTCCAGCCCCACTCCATCAGCCTGGGCTGAGAGGCAAAGGTTTGCAAACCAAAGCCAATTTCCTTGGGATGCAGATATATCAGGGTTTTCCAAAGCTGGTTCTGCACCAAGCCCTGCCCCGAGCCCTCTGCAGCACTAGGGCACAGACCCATGCTTCCCCCTCCCTCCATTTCTCCTATACTGATCACACCAACACTGAGATGTGTCTCAGCAGGGTATTATGGACATTTCACCGATGATTTTTTTACCCTCATTTCCACAAAACACCCCCAGGCCAAACGCTCCCATCAGCTCCCCAGCCTTTGGCACCATCCAGAAGGTGCAAGGCACCAGGTGCTGCAGGCTCTGCCCTGCCCAGGGCTCTGCTCCAGCACCAGCACCAGGAGGGAAAAGGGTTTTTGGGCACCAGGCAGTGAGCTTGGCTACACCCCACAGCAGAACTATTGTGCAGAACAACAGCCCTGCTTCTCCAGCAGCCTCCAGGCTTTGAGGCAGAGCTATTTTTCCAATCCCACATGATTACAAGCTCAGCAGTTCCCAACTGTAAGGATTGCTGGGATTGCACTGGACTGAAGCTGCTTTCTGGCTTGATTTTCCCCAAAGGGTCTCTAAGGATGAGCAAACCCAGCCCTTGGCAGAGAGTTCAGCACAACCATTAGTGAGCGATGGTGAAGAGCAGATGGAACGTGGCCGTGTCAATCTGAGACTGATGAGAGCTAAAAAGGGCATTTCCTCAATTTACTGGTAAAACTGCACAGCACAACCATTTGCCTTTTCCCAGGCACTGAGAGCTCAAGTTTTTCCACGAGGAGATTTAGAGGAAGGAAGGACATCTCTCCAGGTGAGCAGGAGGATCTGGGCAACCCTCTCTCTTCCCAAAGTGATGCCCCACTTCAGGCTGCAGGGGCTTTGCCTGATGCCCTCCAAATAAGCACACGGAGATAAACAAGTCCCTGCTGACTGCTGAGCCTCTCCATGTGGATTTTGGAGGAAAGACCCAGTGTCCTGTGTCAGGTTAATGAGATCCCATCCTGCCCGAGAGCTGCCAGTGAGAAAAAAAATGGGCTGAAGTACTTCTTCTTGCTAGGATTTATTCTGATGTCCATTTCACTGCTGGGAAGGCTGAACTTAGCAATTCCTGGGTGCAAAACACAGAGTAAATTCTATTTATACCAGAACGTACCATTCCTCCCGAGGCTGAGTATTTTTGCAATCCAATTAAATGCTCTTTTTTTCTCGTTCTCCCAATTCCCTCTAGGGCAAAATCCCCGTTCTGAGAAGCTGGACTCTTGCTTAAAGCATCATTTTCCAAACCATGGGTGAAAACACCACAGAAAGGGAAATTATCATATTATCCCATGGACAAAGAAACACTGATGTGGGCCATCCTGATTTGCAAAGAGTTGGCTTTATTTTATGGTTGCAAAGCCTTACATTTAATAAAAACCACAAGAATATCTCTCCTTCAAAGTATGAAATATATCGTATTTATTCAAACTTTGAGTATATATATATATGTATAATACTGATTATAGGTAGATGCACTCGCAGAATGCACGTGCTGTTTATAATGTGATTACACAAATAAGTGTATACAATGGAGTATATCTGTGTGTGTGTAAATATAGGTACACACACCAGCAGATAAGTGCTTCATAGAAGTATATATAAGACATAATATGGAGCTACTATAAGTGAGGCATCTCCCTCATGCTAAGAGCTGGGATACTTGTTTTCCTCTTCCGTGCTGTTTGGAATTTTCCCCAGGTCATTTCAACTTTCTTCTTGAAGGCGTCTTTAGCCGAAGATGACTAAAGGAACAGTCTTCATCCTAGAGAAATGTCAAAAAGTCCTGGAGAAAACCCTAAAAAGCATTAAAAGACAAGAACAAGGAGTGTGTGCTGCTTAATGAAGCGGAGAGCGTTTGAGGTTTAAAATACCACGGCATTTGTGAAACGGCGTAAAGGAGAATGACAGGGAGGAGGCAGGAGGACCTTCCCAGTGAGTGAGGTTTCTGGAGGACAAGGTTCACTTGGGTTGTTTCTCTACAGCGTCATCCCTTCTACTTTCCATCCAGAATTAGCACTGGCACACAGGAAGGAGCATCTAGAAAGCATTGGAGGCTTCAGCCAAGCGTGCTCTCAGCGTATTGCTACCCCTGAAAAGCTGATGGCCCCAAGCCAAAAGCAGCCCTGCTCCTCAGTATTTCTCAGGAAGATTTCATATTCCTACTCCAGACAATGAGTGACCAGTTGAACACAGTCACTCAAACCAGTCTCCAGCTGGCAGCATCTCTGCTGGCCACTCCAACAAGCGCTATCCGGGCTCTGCCGAGCCATTCCTGGCTGCCAGATACGGCATGTCTTGGAAAACCCATCCCTTTCTGAGGCTGTCAGCACAGATCCAGGGGCTCCTCGAGCCCAGCGGGGTCACAGCTCTCCTGTGCACCTTGGGAAGGCACAGGGTGAAACATCTTGGCTGTGAGAAGAGGCAAATCTGCAGCAAAACCTTAACTTGGTGACAAAAGCCACCAGATCCTGGCTCTCTGACTGACTCTCTCCTCTGTGAGCAGAGGGCAACGGGCACCCAAGTGAAGAAATGTGAGCAAATGAAGCCAACTGGGGCCTTTAAATCTCTTTTCACCTTCCTACAAGTCAAACACAGGCTGGGGTTGAGTGATCTGAACCAAGCCAGCTTGTCCCCCCTGATCAGAGAGCTAATTGCTGAAGCTTTGTTACACAGGACAAGCCCTTTTTAAAGGATAGCAGAGCAGGACGAGTCATGCCTTGAAAGTTCAGAGAGCCAGGAAATTTATGATCCCATTACCAGATCCCTAACTATTTCTCTTGTGATTGAAGTTAATAATGACAAAAAGTCCTTTCTCCCTTGACCCAGACTTCTGCAGAGCCACCAAGTTCTATGGAGCATGGCTGGCTTGTAGCTCCTGTGGCTGAACTCAGAGCCCAGGGTCAAGGAGTTTCAAGCTTTGCCTTAGTCCATCCTTCTGCCTTTAAACTGGAAGGAAAAACAAACTCCAAGGGTGACTGATTCCCTGCAGAGTACCAAGGAAAATAAACTTTAAGGGAAACAACCCAGCAGGGCGAGGATTTATTGGTGTTGTTGCTTAAATTCTGTAATAAATATCTGCAAGGGCTGAGAGCAGAATGAGAACTGGATCCCCCACCTGGAAGTCAACACAGTCTTTCATTTGATCCTAAATAACATCCTCACACCCAAGGCCCTCTGCACTGCAAAGTCATAATTCCTGAGCACTCATGAGAATGATGTTCTTAAGAAATTAGTCTCCATATGTGAGACAAGCCAGGATTCAGAGGGGCTAGAGAGGCAGATGAGTCTCTAGGAAAATGTTCCTAAAATGCCAGCTGACAGATCACACCAGGGCTGTGGTTTCTGTGTGCAAGAGTCCTGCATTAGAGCACCCACTTTCTTACTGGGGAAGCTAACTGGTGGCCAAGTCAGCAAAAAAGCCTTGGAGGTCACCCTAATGTCCCACTGAAACAGAAGGCTGTTACAAGGCAGGTGTTTGTAGATCAGGACAGTTCAGCTCTAGTGTGAATTGTTCAGGGTAGAGCGAAAAATAATCAAACCTTAAAAAGTGTGTCACCTATCAAGTAAGAGCTGTGAGTACCAGAACTGCTGGAAGATGCTGAGGTGCTGCTTGAGCAGGAAATCTGCATTTAGCAAGGAGTTTAGGAACAGCCCAGAGCAGCTGCAATGCAGAGACCAGGCAGGTTTGCACTCACCCCCTGCTACAACATCAGCTGTGAGAGGCGATGCTGCGCTTTAATCAGTCAACCCCCCTGTAACGATACAAGTGAGTTTTACACAATATCCCAGAGCGTGAGGAGGAGTGGAAACAAGGAGCTTCGCCACCCCAGGCTGTGTGCCAAAGCGCTCCGGGGTGCTGTCGGGGTGCCGCGGTTACGCACAGCGGGTGTCAGCCTCTGATGGTCCAAGCGCAAAGCGTTCCTTACCTTCCCCCAGCGTGCTCACCACCGTGACTTCTGAGGCTTTGCTGGCACCCCGGGAGGTGTAAGCCTTTATATAAAAGCTGTAGCTGGTCGAGGGCTCCAAATCGGTCACCAGCTGCTGGAAGGTGCTCTTGCTAACAGCCTCCTGGTACTCCATCTCGACGGGATCTGAAAGGCAAAGGAACAGAGAACAGAGCGGCATCAGGCTTTGCCAGAGGTAAAGAGACTGAACAGATCTTGCAAGTGGTAATTGTGGTCCCTGGGGGGGACATGCACCTGCCCACACACTTTTCTGCTTACATTTCAAGTCTGGGTTGGATGGAGCTTGGATCAACCTGGTCTAGTGGAAGGTGTCCCTGCCCATGGCAGGGCATTGGAACTGGATTATCTTTAAGGTCCCTTCCAAACCATTCTATGATTCCCTGATTCTATGGTTTCTGTGTGCTTTGCCAGAGACCTATGTGGGCAGCAAGATTTGATTACATGGCTTCACCCTCTCCACGTTTTTGGTATTTACAGAAGCGCTACAGCCTCATCTCCATCCTTCAGAAACAGGGAGGTGATGGAGGACACGGAGAGCAGCACAGACCCCCTGGTTTTACCTAGTGGGTAAATCAAGGGAAGGCTGGGGACGCTCTGGGCAGCGGGTGCAGCCCCGTACCTGCAGCTTTCCGAATGTGCAGCACGTAGCCGATGATCTCTTTGGTGTTCTGCAGGGGCTTCTCCCAGGACACCTGGATGGTGGTGGCAGAGACGGTCTCGGCCCTGACGGCCTGGGGGGGGCTGGGCAGCCCGTCGGCCCAGAGCACGGTGAGGCGGGCGCTGGCCTGCGTGGAGCCCGCGCTGTTCTCCGCCAGGCACTGGTAGATGGCCTCGTCCGTCTGGTTGATCCCGTAGATGGACAGAGTGCTGTGGGGGGACACGAGAGGGACAAGCATCTCACTGACTGCTCTGCAGCACATCCCTGCAGCCACGCCATGGCCTCCGTGCTGGCTCCAATGGCAGGGCACCCCCCAGCCTCTGCTTCCACAGAAAGCTCCCCGGAAGTCGTGGGCTGGTTATTTTGGGGAAGGAAAAGCCCAGGAGGTGGATGTGTCATTCCCTGGAACCCATGACTGGGCAGATTGTCTCAACCTGCAGATACTGTGGTTCAAGTACAGCCAGATGTGCATATCCTGCAGGGTGGGATAGGAACAGCAGGATCTGAAGCCCTGGACTCAGGAGGATCCCAGCCACACTACAGAGACAGCTCTTTGGCAAGTGACCCTGAGATCAGCTCAGTGGGTTACAGCCTGCTGCTAATAACGCCTAAATTGTGGGTTCAATCCCTGTATGGGCCATTCACTTCAGAGATGGACTTGAAGATCCTTGTGGGTCCCTTCCAACTCAGAACATTCTGAGATTCTGGGAAATGCATCCACACATCCAAATCAGCTTTAACTGGCTTAGTTCCAGTACACACCAGTGAGACCCATCCAGGCACTGCACATGGTTCCTAAGCCAAGTTTAATCAAATGCAGCTAGAAAGCCCTCTGGTGATGCTCTAATTGCATTATAGCACATTAGAGCTGTCTTAGGGTAACACTGGGATTAGGTGACTTACCCAACAGGGTTACAGACTCAGCTCTGGCTTCTGCACTTCCAGGAACACCATCACCACGAGTCAAAACTCAAAGCTTACCAGCAAATCACAGGTTTTGTCTGCAAGGCCTCTGAGCGTGTTTTTGATGCTGGTGCATCAAAGCTTGCTCCCTCCCAGTGAAACAACCACAACAGTTCTGCCAGTCTGCTTTTGGGGGCCTCCACATCAGGCTTAGATGCTGTTTTCACTGCCCAAGATAAAGACAGGCACTGGCTACACTGGTGGAAAACATTCCTAAAGGAAGGGGGAAAACCAGCCGTTTACCAGCCTCCCAAACAAGTGCGTTCCTGAGCATGGTGCCCACCTCTGCACCACCTCCAGGAGAGATGTTTAGTGGTTTGGTGGGCACAGGGACAACCAGAGTCCTTGTACACATAGCCGCATGAGCTGGAGGCCCTTCCTGCACTGTGTGACCCTCTAGCAATGGCTGTGGAAAACCAGAGCAAGTTCAGGACCAGCTCAAGGGTTGCACCACCAGCAAATACTGACTCAGAAATAGTTGTGTGACAGATTAGCTCTGTCTTGTCACTGAACATGCAAAGCAGCTTTTCTTAACAACATCTGTTCACAAAGAGGGATCTATCAGTGAAAGCTCTGCTCAGAACTCAGCCAGGAACAACATGATCCAGTCCTGGAGGTCTCTTCCAACCTTAATGATTCTATGAGTCTAAGACGTGCAACTATCTATCAGACACAAGGCCACTTAAACAAATAAATAAATACCCAGTGTCTCTCCCTTCCAAGACATGGGGTGGGGAGTGTCACACCGTCTCCAGCTCTGAGCTGGAACCGGAAAGGCAGCCTTTGACACTGAAGATGTTTTTACCCAACCCCGAGGCAGCAGCTCAGGTTGTGATAAAATATGCTTACAATGCCCTTAAGTCACCCATATGTGCCCCACTCTGGATTAATCCCTGTTTCTGCATCTGTACTTCCAGTCCTGTCCAATTCCTTTGCACTGTGGTTTACTTCTGGCTCCACATGAATGCTTGGGAGACCACAAGGCCTCCAAGCTCCAGCATTATCTTCTTGGCTTAGGCCAAAGCTCACATGAGCTTTTTGCTATTTTTCTGTAAGAAATGACCCAAAACTAACCAAATCCACACCCACTGCTTGCTTCTAGGGAGAAATAAATTACTTTCTTCTCCTGCAGTGAATTCCAGGTGGATGTGGGACTTGACTGCACAGAAGTAAATCCCAAGCATTCCTGCTGATGCAAGGGGCACTTCATGGCTTTTTGGGAATCATAATCAAAGCTGCCTTTTATGTAAATGAAAAATTGAACATTGGAAGTGGAGATGATAAATAACCTGCCACTGCCTGCCTGTATGTCAGAACAAATGCTTCTTCTAATTGCAGCAAAATATTGGCCTTCCTGTATTAAAATTTATTATTGCCGTTGATTTAACATTCCTATTTCTGCCTTGCAAATTATCGAGGGCCATGGTGAGTGAGCAAATGTTTAACAGTCATCTATTTATGTCCTGTGCCTTTGTTTCCTTGGAAACATTGTAAATGGAATATCAAATGTGATGGTTTCAGCTGATATGGTGATTTTCGAGAATCAGCCCTAAGCTCCTCTCATAGCCACGGGCTCAACGTATCTGATTAAATGGAAGGAGAAAGGCAGAGCTGGGAGGGGGCGCAGGGAGGAAGGACCCGATGTGTGGCTCAGCTGTGTCAACAAGGGCTGACTCCTGCGAGGACAGATGGCAGAAGGCAGGATTACGCCATCCCAGAGCTGCACTCCCAGCCCTGCACAAAGCAGATGTGTGGAAGGAGCAGCAGCACTTCCCTCTGCCCCGTCAGTGCAGGGATTATTTCCATGTGGCTGCTGCGCATCTGGGCACCCAGGAGTGGCCAGGCCGGGCTGGGGCACGAGTCAAGAGCAGCCCTCAGCTTCCCAGGCACAAAGCAGCCCTGGAATAAGGAGTATTTAGGCTCTGCTGTCTCCAAGTGTATTTATTTCTTTTACGTGGGGAGAGGAAAAGATGCAGAGGAGGGAAGAGGCTGGAAAGCAGTGCAAGGTACCTGATGACAATGGTGTGATTCTGAGGCCAAAGATTTCTCTCTCCTGGGAGGATTGGGGGGTGAGCAAAGCTCTTCACACATGACACAGCTGATGTGCAGGATGCCAGTGGTCCTGGGAAGGACAGCACTTGGCCACTGGGACCCAGAGCTGAGCAGAGCCTCTGTCATGCACAGTCAAGTCAGAAGAAATAAATAAAACATTCTATGCAAAGCTGACATGGCAGGTAGCTGGAAACTTGCTTCAGGCTTCAAAAAGGTCATTTTCATTGAGATTTACTCAGCTGTGTTTGGATGAGCTGTGAAATGAGAGTCTTGGCCACCTGGAGTCCACATTACCTGGAATGATGTGCAGGCAAGGGGGCAGTAACACAGCTGGATTTTTGGCTATGCGAGTGTGGAGAAGTTGGTGAGCAGAATGCCCAGCATCTAAACATCATCTTTGTAAGAAAAAGGGTTTTCTCTCTCTGTGGGACCCTCTGACACCCACGGGCAGACCTCCAAAGGAGGCTTCCTGCAAGCCCAGGCGTGACCTCAGAAACTGGCAGCTGCCCTGAGGAGGGCAGGGGCTGGCAGTGAGTTACATGAACCCCAGCGTCATCCCAGCTGATATCTGTGCATCCATTTCCACCTCAGCTACAGCCAAACTCTCCCTGCCTTCACCCACTGCATCACCTCCCAGGATGTGGAGGATGAGGAGCAGCACGGCCAGTGTTCAGTCCCAGGTTTCGCTGCTTTTTGTCTTTTTCTTTTTATTTTTTTAAGGAAGCTCAAACAAAAGGAAAATATGTAGTTGCCGTGTGAGGAGGTGCAGAGCGTCTCTGTGAGTCAACCATCTGAAATATGCAGTGTCCTTTTACTTCTTCCCGTCAACAGGAAAAAAGATCTGTCACTTTGGGACATCTGCTGCGGGAAAACTTTCCCGCGAGTGCCAGACTGGCAGCGCCGTGAGCACGTCAGACGAGGCGAGATGCCAGAAGGCTTTCTGCTGGTCACCAGAGCCGCTCGGCGAGCCCAGGGCTCCATCACATCCCCGCACAATGCCCTGACAGGCATTGATGGAAGTGGGGAGAGGAGCCGCTGCAGATTCACACACGGCTGAGCTGAAACGAGAGGCCTCCGCTGCTCGAAAGCCGCGCTATTCCCAAGCTGTCTTCCCAGCTCATAGGCAATCAGGATGACTGATCTGGCTCGGGTCAAGGGTCCAGGCCGGTGACCAGAGATTGGTTTTCCAAAGGCTCCTCTGAAAAAGTCTGCAAACTGAAGGAAGCCCCTCCATCGATTCAGCAGCACAAAGAAGAGGGGCCCATCTGGAAGGGCATCGGCCTGTGCGCACACAGGCACAAAGGAGGGAGTGTGGTAAAATTAATGCAGAGCGCAGGCTGTGGCCAGCAGGGACAGCGGTTTAAGTGCCAGCAGCTACAGAAAGCCACCAGTGCCACATTGGGATGCCCCATCCCTGCTCTGTTATGGACTGTGTTGTGCCGCACTGCACCGGATGATCCGTCCCTGGGCTGCCAGCCGGTGCCGCGCTGGAAAGGAGCCTTTGCCCTCCGCAGTGCTGGCTCTTGGCAGCTTTGCAGAAATGCCCTGTATTCTGAAGATTCCCTCATACAGGCTGAGAATAAGGTGCAAACCTTGAAGAGTGACACTCAGCAGCCCAGAGGGACACTGTATATCACCCTCAGTCCTTTAGAAGCATGTCCTTACACATCCAGAAATTAAATAACATGCAGGGTATCCTAGGTGAAATTGGGTCGGGTTATGCAGGAGAAGGAACCCTTTCCAACTGGTTTATACTCAGCAGGTACTGCAGCCCCCTGGCCAGGATCGCAGCCCGATTCTGCCGCTACAGACTCACCCAAGCACAGCTTCTGGAGGGATGTTGCTGGTCCCAGCCACTCACTCTGTTTTCATGAGCCAGAGAGTGCAATCTCAGACTTAACTGAATCCTTTCCCAGGGAGGGAACAGAAAAGTCCTCTGCAGGACCATGGGGAAGCACAAAACACCTCAGGATCACACTGATGCCCTACTGCTTAGCGGGGCTTTGGATGTTCGTGCAGAGACTCTCCTTGCAAAGGCCATTTCCACATGTCTTCCAAAGTCAAACCCATAAATTATTCTTAAATAAGGAGCAGCTGGTTCACATCCCAGTTCTCCACATACTTATTTGTCATGGGAACTGAAATATGATTTGCTATATGGTACCCTGCCCACAATCACAACAGCCTTCAAAGGCACAGCATAAAGAACCTGCAGGCTGCTCTGTCCCCCCTTAAGGGGTCCAAATCCCTACAAATCCAAGAGTTTGTGGGGTGTGTGCACCACAAAGGGATGTACAAACCCATCTGCATCTCTCTGCACCCAGCTAATGTGGGTTTTACAGAAAAAAGCCACTCTGTGAAGGACAGGCTCTGGTTTCCCTGGGTTTGGTACCAAAAAGATTGTCTGGTTCCAAGTGCTTGGATCTTTGTGCTTGAAGGCCCCTCTCTGTATCATTGCTGGGGTTAAGCAGCATGACGAGTTCAAGAAGAGCAAAGTTGTCCTTAAGTTCATTTAAGAAGGAATATTTTCCCTGATGAACCTTGACCATTCACGGCCCTTGAAGTGAGACATTCCCAGAGCACTAAACCAAGTGCAGACCAGTGAGGAGGAATTTAAAAAGGAGACAGTTCACCAGCAAAGGTCACCAAGGAGAGCAAACGCCACCTGAGCCTGGATCCTAACAAAGCCTTTTTCCGCTGGAACAAATGAAGTCCCTTAATTACCATTTCGTAAATAAAATCTTCTTGAAAAATCAATATTTAGAGCCTGCCTTCTCTGAAGATGTTGGCCTTTGTTCCTTGCTATTATGGCAACATAAACCCCATAGTGTGATATACTTCTGGGCTGAAAATTACCTCCCCAAACCTCACTGGGTCAAAGGAAGAAGAGCAATAAACCTTTCAGAGTGATGATTCAGGGACTATTTCATGCTTCCTTGTAAATTTTGAAGTAATAACATAGAAGCATGATTTTTAAATATGCCCATGGTTAACTTGGCCAGTAACCACCCCTTCCTCCTGCAGTGATACTCCTGCTTTTGGGATGGCTGGTGATGCCAGGTGGGAATTTTGCTAGAAATGGCCATTACACCTCTCAGGCATTTGGATTGTGATCAACCCAATTCACTCCAGGAGCAATACAGGCATCTCAGATCTTCAGACAGGGACAGACCCTGGACACAGGGATGACTCCACCAAAGTCCAAAAAGCTCCATCAGCTTCTCCACCTGAGAGCTTGGTTCAGTGCAGCATCAGCCCACAGCTATCAGCTCCATCCCCAGCGTGGCAAGGCAGCCCCACCATCAGCTCCTTCAGTCATTTTTATTCACAGCTTTTAATGGAAAACCCCACAATTCCCCACGCCTGAGCCTTCATGCATTTTTCATTAACAATTATCCGCTATCCCAGAACTGCTTTTGATTTTTTGCTAATCATCGATTGGCTATTTTGTTCCCACACAGCTGGCATTTTCAAAACATAACAACCACCTCTGGAGAGGGCACAGCAGAAGGCTGATCTTTAATGCTAATGTGCCCAGAAACCGTCAACACATCAGGTGATGGGAATTCACATCTGAGGGACCACGAGGGAGGAGGTATTTATCGGACGCAGCCTGTGAGGCTGATTTTACTGTGCTGTAAGACTGGAAATCACTTAGCAAGTGACTCTCTGGTGTTGCATCCGCAGCCACATCCAATTTCCAGTCAACCCTGTCCTGAAGCTGCTGTCCCATCCCAGCAATGATGGGCTTCTGGAGTCCCCTCACCTTGTGGGTTTGCTGTGGTTGGGTTTGGAGCTACTGCACGTGTGGGTGAGGGAGATGCCCAAAGGCCCTTCCCAACTCTGAGGAGCAACAGTCCAAGGGATCCATCAGCTGTGGGTTTGTGCAGTCATGCTGCTGCACGCAGGAGTAGGCCTCAAGCTGTAAAAGCAAAGCAGCATCTCAAATGCACCATCTTCTGCAGGTCTGGACCTCACTTCTGGTTGTGTTAATTTACAAAAATGAAGTTGCTCCTAAAGACACATTTTGCAATCAATTAGCACATGATATGTTTTGGGATGATTCACTCTTCCTTTTTTTTCCTAAAGATCCCTTCGGGGGCATTCAGACCTCTATGGCAATATTAAGCAGAGTTTTAATCCAAATGAATTTTCTAGGAAACCATGTAATCTAATTAAAAAGCTCATAGTGCAGTTTAGTAGCTTCATTACTAGTAGATTCGAGATCCATCTTTATACAGACATATATTTTCCAAGTGCAATAGACTGACAAATCCAAGGCATAACCACAAACTGATTCTGCCTGGAACTAAGTGAGTTACAGCACTTTGTCATGCCCATGAGAGTGAAACAAAGGACAACTTGAAAAAGCTCAAAAAAACCCCCCCATCCGTCAATGTGTCTCCTCCAATTCATGGAGCTCCCAGACCTGCTGCACCAGCGAGGGCATTTTCCAGACTGACAGCTTTGGAAACACCAGGCATGGCCACTTGCCTGAGGCTGGGGGTTGGAGTAGACCAAGACTAGTGCGAAAGAAGACAAAAGTTCAACACTGTCGAGTACAGTGGCCTTAGGGCTCAGCTTTACAATCGTGTTACTATGGCTTGAGAAGATGCCACGTGTCAGCTGAGCCCTAAGAACGGGCTGAGCTCCCTCAGCCTGTGCCAGATGCTGTAATCTGATCATTTAGATCGCTGTGGAAAAGACTGATGCTAAATTGCATTAAATGATTCCCATAAGAAATCGGTTCCAGCGACGTTCACCAAGTCGCAGCTCATGTGCACATGTAGAGCAGCTCCAGGCACAGGGACCTGGCCAGAAGACAGGATCATGACCAAAGATCCGACTTCTACTTCCCTCAAACAGTGAAAAGGAATGATTTCACAGGCAAGGCATCTGGGTGCAACGCAGAGCTGGATTCAGTGTCGGTTTTGTCATGGATTTAATGACCGCTCTGGAATCTTTGGTCACTTCTGACTCTGCTTCCTCATCAATAAAAGGGGATGCACTAATTTCCCTTCTCCCATCTCCGCTCTGTACGTATCACAAGGGCAGACATGCCTCAGAAACCCATGTAATGAGCTAGAAGATCACAAGCCTGCTGTGAGTGGCATCTGCATGTGCACACACAAAGCTCCCTGAAGCTCTAAAAACTCCCAGCTCAGAGAAAACCTCCACTGACAGAGATTTTATTATAACTCACACCTTATCCTTCTTCCATCCTTCACATAACAAAGCTTTACAAAGCCCTCAAACCTGAAAACAAAAAGCTGTATTATATAGAAACTTAGAAAAATAAACTCATTCTTCTCCCCGGAGGAACAAGTCATGGTGCCTGCACCGCACTTCCCAACTGTCTAAACTGACCTCCAGTGAGGCTGGGTAGCTGCTTTCATGAGACACATCTGTTAATACAGAGAGTAGCTATATGACACCACAGAGTACAAACCTCTACCAATAATTCAGGTTTACAACACAGGTGCTATTATTTTGTAGTATATTGTTCCATGCTATTTCCATAGAAACTACATCGTCGACTTGTAATTTTCCCACTAAGTGCATCCCACTGTATCATTTCCTCAGTACAAACATCCCCATCCCCTCACAGGAAAATGCAGTTATTTAGTACTCAGAGAAAACACTCTTCCCTGGTGAGATAAAAGGCTGAAGTTTAGTGAAAGTCAGGTTCCGTGCAAATATTATTTCTAATGTATTTGCATTTGCACACCCAGGCAGGTTAATGTTCAAGGGTTAAACACAGTTTCTCCAGTGCAGAGTGAGTGTGGTTCCTGTCAGCTCCAGGGACAACATTTAGTCCTTCCAGAAATACCCAGATGATGACCAGGACAAAAGAGTAACTTTTACTGGGTTCATGTATCAACAGTCAAAGTCTAATGCTCATGTCCTGGCACAAAAAAACCCACAGAGCACTGAAATATAAGCCTACAAGATGCAGGTAGCAGGAGCAGTATCAAAGTCCAAATTGAAGCCACAGATCTGCTTCTGAACTTTTCCACCTTCAGATCATCTCTTTGCTATGCAGAAAGCAACCCAACATCCCTTTGCACTGCAGTGCCAGCAGGACTTACCTGTTGTTATTCTTCAGCTTGATGTGGTCGCTGGTCTCCAGGATCTGCCCGTTCCTCAGCCAAGTGATCTGGGGAGGGGGTTCTCCTTGGGCCACACACGTGAAGATGGCAGTGGTCCCCACTGGCCTGGAAATGGACTGGGGATGCTGCACAAACTCTGCAGGGGCTGTGAGGAGGAAGGAGAAGGAGGGTGAGAAAAGTCATGATGATCCCTCTTCATCCTGCTACAAAGAGTAACTTTGCAAGTAAGCCTTGTCTGACTGGGAACATGGGATACTTGGCCGAGCCACAGCATAGGTAGCAGATAACTGGTTTGGATGGTGTGTCTGTGATCAGTGCTATTTGGTTGCCCATCCTGGCAGTCACAGCTTCATAGAAGGCACCTGAAGGCCATCTCAGAACTGATGGAGAGCTGAGGTGAGTCCTGCAGGGTTCAGACAAAGAGCAGCAAGGTTTAAGCCCCCTTACCTCTCCCCAGTCTTCCACTGAAAGCAACCCCAATTATGAAATTGGGAAGATGTGCTGTTTCATCAATGGCAGAGTGAGATCAACACCCTGGCTTTGCCCAAAGGACCTGTATAGCATCAGCAAACTGCTCCAAATGGAAAGAAATGTATGGATGTGGTACAGCAATCTGGCAGGGAGTTCTCTCCCCAGTAAATATCAGATTTGCTGCAAATCTCCTGGCACCAAGAGATTGGGGAACCTTTTTTACCCCAGATCTGCAGCCTGGGACCATTGGGGGTCCTGCCAAGCCTGGCAGGAGACTCCACCATGCCTGTAGCTGCTGCTCACCTTGTCACCAAATGTTTTCACCTTTGACAATAACATTCTTAAACAGAAAGTGATTTCCCCCTTCCAGCAGCTCAAATTAGATTTAAAATCATTTATCAGAATAAACCAGCATATCAGCCTACAGAAAACAGGGCCTGACAGACACAGCCAAAGAGGTGAGATTATTCAAGCAGTTCTGCTTCAAAGGGCAAAGTGATAAATATACTCCACGTTGCGGCTGAAACCTAAAATCAGGTGGAACCAGCAGCAGCCACAATGAAGACAAACAGATATGAGGCACAGGCCCATAATAAATTCACTGACTAATGTCACATAACCGATGGCTGGTGTTAAATTTTTAGGACAAAAGCAAGATTATGCAGGGAGACCCACTCAGTGCCACTCACCGGCATTTTCCAAGCATGGGGCTGGGGGGCTCTGCCACCAGCAGAGATGTAGGGATGGGAGAAGGGAGCAAACTGGTCCAGCAAATGTGTTGAGGGGTGGCCAGGTTGCAGGCAGGATGCAAGAGCTGAGCCTTGTGCTTCATGGCCAAAACAGCCCTCGGGGTTTGCTGTAGCAGTTCAGGGGGATAAAGCTCTTCCTCAGCTGTGTGTAGGCAAGGAAGAGCACTGCTGCTGCTGCAACGTGGCCCAATTGCAGCGAAAGGTGTTTGTGTGTGTGAGTGAAGTCATGCATGTTGCAAGTCCTGCAAGCAGGAAGACACAGAAATTCATCACAGAGCCCGTCCCCCTTAAAGGAGCTCCCCCCTTCATTTTTAATAATCATAGGGAAATGGAGCATGGCACTTCCGTTGGTGTCTGCCAACAGAGTTTATTGTCAGGCCACTGCAGCTGGCACTCTGGTCTACTAATGGACCTTATCTCAGCAATCAAATGGACACATATTTCCAGAACCTCCCACTAAACTTCCCAGGTGCCAATCAACCTCTTGTCCTTTTACTTCCCTCCTGTGTTTTTCCTCCTCTAGACCTACAGTTTAAAATAAAATCCAGGACACAGGTTCAATAAAAGTTGAGAGCAAGGATAAACCCCTCTTCCCTGCAGTGAATGGTCCCTTTGTGGCGTGCAGTGAGAACATTAGAGACTTGATTTCCCTCATCCTCCCACCCCCTGCTTTGTGCTGGCGTGGTTTTGCGGGAGCAATTATTTTGCAAGTGGCTGTGCACCTCCCTGCTTTCATCTGGGCTCACGAGCTGCACCCACAGTCCTCGCAGGTGCAAACCCACGATGCCAAGGAAGGGCACAGCCACCTTCCAGCTCCTTGCTGCAGCTTCATTAAAGGTCCTGCTTGGCTCTCTGCCTCCGCCTCCCCCCTCGCTCCATCAAATCTCAACCCCACCGTTTGTTGAGCAGAAACAAAGTTTAAATATGGAAAGAAGCATCCGGCATAACCCTGCTGGAAGCACTGGCTCTCCTTATCCTCCCTCATTAGCCCGTGTCAAGAGGGAGTAATTGGAGCGGTGTCGCGTGTGACTCGGGGTAACGAACGTGCAGCTGCGGCCGCTGGCTCGGCGCCAGTGGTGCTGTTCAGTGCCACGGCCCCGCAGGTTCCTTGGGTCCCTGCTCCCCTCTGCCATCCCTCCTCTTTGCTGCCCCACTAAACACCACCAGAGCAAAGCCTCAGCCCCTGTTTAACTTGCTCAAACTCTCTGGGGCGCAGGCTCCCTGGAATGGCTCCCACCTCTGCTGTGCTGAGCTGTCCTTGCTCCGTGGCATCCCTCGCTGCAAGACTTGGATGCCCTTCTGCTGCTCCTGCTCCTCCTGGCTTTCCCCAGGCATTGCTCTGTCCCTTTCAGGTCTCATCCTACTCCTTTTGGTGCAGAAGGAGCAGCAGAGTGGAGCTGTAGCGGCAAAACGGCCCAGGTTGTCGAAGCAAAAACCCATGGTCTGGAAACCCATGGAGTTAAAAAGAAATGGTCTGAACACCACCAGGGTCCTAACATGGACATTGCTCCAAGGAGATGCTCCTCTGCTACCCTGGACCCGGTGTCCATACCAGTGTCCTCAGGCAGAGTGCCCTCAGGCAGCTGCTGGTGCATGTCTTGGGGTAAATGGCTCCTTTCCTGGACAGAAGAATGTCTGCTCTCCTCTTCCTGGGTCCTCTCCCTACCCTTCCAAACAATTTCAACAGGAACCAAGAATTTGCCATCTCTGTCCCTGGATTAGTGGAAAGGGAGCAGAAGCCAAGCTCTGCCTGCTGCCAGCCCTGCCTGGAGCCAAGCCCTGCCTGCTGCCAGGCCCCCAGCCCTCGTCATTCATAATTAATAGAGCATCTTGTCAGGGCTCATCCCACCCTGCACGGACATGCAGGACATGCCTGAACCCCTCTCCCTCTTTCACATTAAATGCCAAAAGGCCATTGCAGGCAGCCAGAGGAAGCGTTTCTCAGCCCTCCACCAAGATCTTAACACAGGGACTAATGGAGATCACTGCTAAGAGCAGAGGATTCACACCTGGCAAGGAGGAGTGGGCAGGATCCAGCCCTGGCTTGTGAAGTATGAAGAAACCAGAGCATTGATTATTCAAGACTTAATGGGAGGGAGGGGATCATGCAGTTGTAATGAATATTTAAAGGCGTGACATTGGTATCCAAAAGCAATAACGCTTCAAATCACCCCCAGAATCATTAACAAAGTGATTCAATAGCTTTTACTGTGCTCAGCAAACTGTGATAGCAATGGAGATGCACTGTCACACCGGCTTGTAATGGGAGACCCAGATGGGCTCCATCTCTCTGGGGACATCTCATGTCAGCAGGGACACCAGTGTGTCCCCCAAGACACCAGGGAGCTTCACTCTCCTTGCCATGAGGTTGTGGTGTGGTGCTTATTGCAGCACCTGATGGCTCAGAGAAGGTCCCAAGGATCAGGGAGCACTGACAGGTCACTGAGAAGAGCCTAAGGATTAGGGAGCACTGAGACAACGCTCCAGTGCCAAACAGATCCATACTGCACCTCAGTATGAAGGGTCAATAATTCTCAAGTAGCCTGTGGCGGGGGGGAGGGAGGGAGGCTGGGGTGAGGAGAAGGAAGAATAACATGGAAACAACAAAACCTCATAAATTAGGCTAGTGGCACCTACAATAAGGGCATCAAGCAGAAGGCAGGTCAACAGGGAAGTCAGTCAAGCACAGCAACCGGTGACAGGAGATTTAAGACAACTGCTGCTCACTTGGCTTCTCTCTATTGACTACAGAGGATGCCCAGATGCTTATGTGAGTGATGTAAGTAGCAGTGATGGGACTGCAAGGACCAAAAATGGAACCTGTGCTCATGTTCCCTGGAAAATAGGCAGAGACCACTCAAGGAGGCTGTCGTGGAGGCTGTCCTTCAGCCCTCATGACATTCTTGTCCCAGCAAGGTGCATGTTGGAGCTCCACAGCAGTGGGATATGTTCCCACATCCCCTACTAGTGTAGTCCTGGGAGAGTGCTCCAGAGGGCTCAGACACCCCAGCTCACTCCAGCATCCTGATAGACAAGATTTGAGCACCCACCTGTCCCTGCATGGTGGCTCTTCTTGAGAAAGAAAATGTGGACAGGAAGGGAACTGGGGGAACTGTCCATGAGGGACACTGACTCAAGCAGCACATACTGAAACTGGTTTGCAGTGCAAATTTAGGGCTAAACTCAAAGGACAAACCAAGTACCACAGAGCCAAGCCTAAGCCACAGCAACTGCAATGCATCTGCTTCTGAATTCCACCCCACAGCCACGCCTCGTGATGCCAGCGAGCAAGAACGATGGAAGAAACATCAGGAAGTGCAGCGGTGGCCAGATCTGCTGGACCAAGGAGCGCTGCCCGGTCCTGCCAGCAGAAAGCAAGGCAAACAAGGCAGTCATTGTCAGCAGAGCCTTCAAACCCATGTCCTTAAGATAGGCCCTCATTTATGAGATGGGATCTCATTTTTCTGCATAGCTTTCAGGAGGAAATGAAGCGTGGAGTGGAGAACACTGGTGACCATCTGGCCATTCACAGCCCATCAGTTTGTTATGACACCAAACACATAATAAAGCACAAAGGATTGCACAGGAGGCAGAGGGAAAGCGCTTTGATATATTTTTTTCCCTTTCCACCGAAGCCTGCTCTTCCCTCGCCCCACATGCACACACACCCTCCGCTTCAGCCAGCGCTGCATTCGGCCCTTCCACAACTCCCCCCGTGAGACTTTCACTGGCAGCTCGGCACAAAGCAATATTCAAATGGCTGCGCCGGGATCTGAAGGGAAAATGGAAACTTTCTTGTGTGAGAACCTTACAAAAGAGATCAAAGGAGCCTAAATGGCCAGGGGAGGGCGGGGAGGGAGGGAGCGGGGGGATTGACGCCTTCTCCTCTGGAGGGAGGAGGAATTCCCAGGAAGATAATAAGATGGCGTTAGATGATCTGAAGGAAAGCCTGCACTGGGAAAGGACATTACTGCAGGAGGAAGAGCAGAGCCCTGCGCTGGGACACCTCTGCTCATGCAGCTGCTGTGATGGGACAAGGACCACCGCTGGCAGCAGGAGGGAGGACGTGGTCTCAGCCCCAGCTTCCTGCCAGCTTCTTGCCTTACAACAGGAAACATCACCCTTTCTCCCCGTGTTTCCCACCTATAAAACGTGCCTCCTTCAAAAGGCATGGGGCAAGTTAATTTGTGCCTCCGGGCACTTCAAGGGCCCCTGAATAAAGGCAGCAAGTACCTGGCCTGGCGTGCTTTGAGGACGCTGTATTGTCCTAACCCTGTGCTAACTTCCTCTCCAACCAGGCTTTTGATAGCCAGCTCTTTGCTTTTCTTCTCTTTACGGATGTAATTTGCATCGCTGACATCTTGACAAAGATAAAACCCACAGTCTCCCATGTCAGTCATTATCGCTGTTTTCTTCCCAGACAAACCTGAACAGCAATCATTTGTACCTCTCAGCTGGAAAATTCAGGCAAAATGAGATGCAGAGGAAGGAAAAGCTGCTTCCAGAGGGAGGGTGAGCAAACCTGGGATGAGCTCAGCTGCCAGGCCAGGGTCTGCCATTACCCTGCCTGGGCAACAACAGTCCCCCAGAAAACATGAAGCATTTTAAGGATGGGCAACACAGGTTGGGGTCCTGGGCACTGCATCTCATGTCTAAGGGCTACACCAAGGACACATTGGCCACACTCCTCCACACCACTGTCAACTTCTCTGCTGATGCTGAACGCAAGAGCATCCCTCCCCCACAGCAAGGCTGGGCTCCAACAGCCTGTGATCAACATTTTAGGGACAAATTCTCATCTTGGTTCCCTGGACAAAAATACATAGTAATTCTACCCCAGCTGAATGCCAGCACCAGGAAGTGATGTTCAACTCTCCAAAAAGCTACTGATGTGTAGCAATGAGAAGTTGTGCTACCTTTCACCCTCTTATCCAGTTGCTAACAGGAGCAGTCAACAGTATTCAATAGCTGTATTTTTAAAATTTCATAGATTTTCCAAGTACCTTCTTTTGTCTCTGCCTCCCTTCCTCCTGGACATCAGCTTGGCATTTGGGTTTAGGAAGCCTCTGCTACATGTCCCATGTGCAGAGCTGTCCTGTAGCAGCTCCAAAGGGTTTTATCTACAGCAAACTTGCTCTTCATGCCTGGGTTGGTGTTTATTAATAAGAAGAGTCATAGTTGTGCCAGCTGGGAGGTCCTCTGGTTGCACTGCTCACCCAGAAATCCAGAGTTTTCACCTCCTCTCATGTCTGATCAGCACCTGGGGCTCAGGGGGCATGAGCAGCCCTGTACAAGCACCCTTTCTACATTGCTCCTCCCTGGTTGGCTGGATCACCACCAGCTCCTGGGATCTGTCAGGTGAGCATCAGGGTTGGAGCAGGGCACTTTGCCCATCACCAGCATGAAAGGTTCAATTAGCAGCTCCGGCAGGAGGTGTGTAATTTTAGATTCAGGATATCATCAGTCAATAGTTAATGAGTGAACTGATGAGAGCACGAGATGCTTTAAGTGGACGAGCTTGAAGAGGAGGTGAGTGTCTGTAATCAGGGGCGGATTGCTGCCATTCAGAGCACGCTGCCAGCTGGGTTTGCCTTCTCAAATACTTGCCTGGTTCCCCTCACCATGGAGACTGGTTGCACGGAGCTTGTGGAGGGGATTTGTGTGGTTTCTTCAGTGCTGATCTCTACTCTGGGCTGAACTGCCCTTTGCAAATAGCATTTCAGGACAGTTGCTTCGGGTAGAGGAGAAACCTGCATCCCATGGGCATGGCCCCAAAGGGTGCTTCACTCAGGTCACAGCAGCAGGCTCAGACACTATCTACTGCTGAAGAAACCAGTCCTGCAGACTTTTTGGAAATGGTTTTAGACTTATTGGTGCTGTTTCAGTTGGAGAGCAATACTCCATGAGTGGTACCTACTACTGGATATCTCTGCAGTCAGCAGCTGTCCAACCCACACCATGACAGTGCCCAGGGGCCGTGTGGAGAGTTTGCTCACCTTGTACCACGAGGCTGCCCTGGGCCGTCCTGCGCACACGGGTGCCGGGTTTGTTGGCGGCGCACACGTAGATTCCAGAGTGCTGCACGGTGAGGTCTGAGATCATGAGGTTTCCTGTCCCCAGCACCTGGATCCCCTCCACACCAATTGGGCGACCATCTGAAAGGAGGGGAGAAGGACAAGAGTCACATGCTGGACCTCTGTGCGAGGTTCCCCGGGACACAGCCCTCAGTGAGGTCCAGTATAGGCACTTACGGAGTGGTGCCATGTTCTGTTACTGGGATTTGCCAAGTAAGGTCAGTGGGATTCAGCAAGACACAGTTCAATAAAGAGGCTAAACCAAGGTAAATCATCTCAGCTTCTGCAAGCTATTGCCTGGGTTCTTATATTAGACCAACAAGGATCCAACCAGCTCAACAGCCTGTTTCCAATGGAAAGGCTCCGGGAAGAAGAAGTCTAGTGAGCCTGCAGCAGTGCTTCCCTGATGCACTCTCCCAGTCACCAGCAATTTATGACCTGGTGACTTCCCGACCCAGAAGTGACACTTTTTTGCCTGCTAAGCCTTGATGGATTTTTTGTGGCTTTGAAAAATACACGAAGACCAGATTTTCAACTCCTCAGCTCTTGAACACACAGTAGCTCAGGGCCAAGGAGCCAAACTCTGAGCTGGTGGTTACATCTCCTCAGATGCTTTGGCTTGGAAGGGAAATTGGAAAGGGCTGCCTCCATCCTGAATGATGGATCTGAGGCATGTGACATAGTTCAGTATCAGGGAACTCACTTTTTTTTCCAACAAAGCTTGTTTTCTCTGGAAAATTCCCAGCCAGCTCTAATTACAACGTGTTTCATTAGTATCAGGCTATTGCTTTTTATTGTTTCATTGATTTGTGTTTTAAGGCACTGTCTGACAAAGGCAGCTCTAAATCAGGCCTAGCACGTGTCAGGGTGTCTGAGCAGAGGGCAGGGGAGGAATTTTACTGGAGGAGCAGCTTAAGGGAGCACACTTTCATCAGATGGGAAATGGGAATTCAGTTCTTCTCTCAAGTTTGCTCATGGAGAACCTACAGAAATGTGAGAAGCAAGAACCAGCCCTGGTGATGTCCCCACCCGACCATCCCAAGAGCCCTCCACACTTGTGTGCTCTGCTACAGCAGAAAAATCTGTGTCTTGTGCTTCAAAGGTGTGGTTAGTAGAAGGAAAAATTAATCTGAAAAATTCCTCCTGGAAGCTCTGTTGGAATGTGCCATAATCTTGCCATGAGCTTCATGCTCCAACACAGACAGCATGCAGGGCTAGTTAAAAGTTATCCTGCAATCACATGCTTTAGATGTAATATCACGCTTTGCATAATGAAGAATATTATGAGGATTTGGGCCATTCATAACCAACAGGTTCTGGAATGGATTGGGAAAAGATGAAGCCAAAGCAGTGCTCAAGGAGAGGGACAAACCAATCATCAACCAAGAAATGCTACTTTGCAACCTGCTGCCCAGCCAGTGCTTGGGTCCTCATAGAAAAGCAGGTGATGGGACAGAGAGTCATGTCCCTGCAGCATCAGTGAGGGCAGCACAGGTCATCACCTCGCAAGCCTCGGCCAATGTGTGCTCCTCTCTCCACAGGCCCTGCCAGGACCCTGCTCCAGTGTGGGCTTCCCATGGGGTCACAGACTCCTTTGGGCATCCACCTGCTCCAATCTGGGGCCCTCCATGGGCTGCAGGTGGATCTCTGCTCCCCTGTGGAACTCCATGGGCTGCAGGGGCACAGCTGCCTCACCATGGGCTGCACAGGAATCTGCCCCAGCGCCAGGAGCACCTCCTGCCCCTCCTTCCTCACTGAGCTTGGGGTCTGCAAGGCTGTTCCTCTCATATATTCTCACTCCTCTCTCCAGCTGCAAATGCACATTTTTTGGGTTTTTTCCCCTTCTTAAATCTGTTCTCCCAGAGGCACTATCCCTATCACTGAAGATCCATCTTGGAGCCAGTCGACATTGGCTCCGTTGGATATGGGGGAAGCTTCCAGCACCTTCTCACAGAAGCCACCCCTCTAACTTTCACACTACCAAAACCTTGCCATGCAAACCTAATACAACCACGAAAGCAAGGGATCTCATTTTGGATTAACAGCAATATCACATTAGGAAATACCATCAAAGCATGGACAGAGAGCTACAAAGCACTTCCCAAACCTATCTCATGCCATGCTCTTTAAATATTGTTTTTCAGGAAATTCTGAAACTTAAAGGTTTCCTTGCTTCATTAGGAAGGCAATGCCAGACCCCTTCATTATTTGCATTGCAAAGAAAAAAGCCCAGGTCTTTTAGAGAGAGAGAAAAACAATGCCATTAAGTGATTACATGATCACATAGCTGGCCAAGCCACTGCTGCAGTAAATGGCCCAGTCATTAATAGGACAGTAAAACATGACCTGTCCCACATTTAATGAGCAGTAACAAGGAACCATTCCTTCCAAACAGCACTTGAACTGAAGTGTAGAGAGGTCTGAATTAAATTCAAATTGAACTTGATTTCATCTTTTAAATTAGACCTTTTAGAAGTCTGTATTTACAATAGGCATAAAAATCAAATCTCTCTCTTGAGGGAGGGATGACATCAGTGAAAGATGCAAAGTGGCCATACCTGGATCCTTCATCACTTCATTGCCTTGACAAATACCACAGAAATGTGACTTGAATGTCAGTAGTTTTACTGTATTATTTATAACGTGCTCCATAAATTAAGCATGCAAAGACCCAGCCTGCAGCAGGTACTCCCCACAGTCCAAATACCAGTACATCAGTACATCCTCAGTTCTCTCTCTAGCTCCAACTATTAACTAGAGGTGTGGTGGTCTGAAGAAACATCTCCTGTAAACCAAGAATCTTTCATTTCCCTGGAGGACAAAGCTCTCCAAGCTCAGAAACCTCAGGCATCTGCCATTTGGGTCAGAGAGTGTGACCACCTCTAACAGCCAGCAAAGATCACTGCCAGATGATCCCAGACACCTCTCACTCAACTCCTCCCTTCCAAACAGCACTGAAAAGGGCTTTTAAAGAAATACTTCTACTTTCCCAGCCTACTCCATTCTTCTCACTCTACTGTGCCTCACTCAGCCTGAGCTGTCCTGCAGTCAGTTAGAAGGTCTTCAGCTAATATCTAGTCCAACTTAGCAACATTGACAACACATATAAATAATACAGAGTGTTTACCCAAGAAATTCCTTGCATCCTGAAAGCTCAGCACTTTGCAGAACTGCTGTGCTGAGGGACTTACGTCTCACACCTGCTTTGCAAAGGTTGTTATTTATTTTAACCCTGTTTTCTTTCCACAGAGACCTGAAGAGTGGCTTGGATCAACCAATCCCAACCCTGTGAACCCCAGCATCACTTGCCATCACCAAGTCAAGTCTCCATGGAGGAGAGCTGAAAGACTGCAAAAGCTAACACTCGCTCAGTTCCCAAAGCTCTCGAGACCCATGCAGGCTTGAAACCACTGCTCATTTAACATGACCTTCTACTTCTTTTTATGAAGTCAAAAGCAGAAAATGTGAGGGCTGAAAACAAACCAGTCTGTGTGGAAATGTCACACAGATTCTCTCTGTTGATGTTCAGTTGATGAGGACAGAAGGGGGAAGTTCAGCTGTTGGGAAGAGCAGACAGACCCTAATAAAGGAGACTATTCTCCAAATGGGAGATGTTCGCAAAAGATGCTCCAACTACAGCCTAGTAGAGACTTCACAGAATCATAAAATGGTTTGGGTTGGAAGGGACCTTAAAGACCATCCAGTTCCAACCCCTCTGCCATGGGCAGAGACACCTTCCACTATCCCAGGTTGCTCAGAGCCCTATCCAACCTGGCCTTGAACACTTCCAGGGATGGGGCAGCCACAGTTGCTCTGGGCGACCTGTGCCAGGGCCTCACCGCCCTCACAGGGAAGAATTTCTTCCCGACATCCAAAATAAATCTACCCTCTTTCAGCTTAAAGCCATCCTCCCTTGTCCTATCACCACACACCCTTGCAAAATCTCCCTCTCCAGGCCTTCCTTTAGGCCTGCTTTAGGTACTCCCATGTTCCCTGGTGGGATGGAGTCTGGAAGAAAGATGTCTGCGGTTTGGGAGTCGCATTATTTATTTTTCCAAGGTGTATGTGATGCTTTCTGGAGCCCATTCTCTGCCTGCTAGCTGGGTGATTGGCACACCGGCACCAATTACGGAGCCCCCTTAAAACGTGCCAGGCGATATGAATATGCAACAACACGAACGCCTTTCTTTGATAAGTAGCAAGTAGAAAGAAAGTAACAACTTTCTAATGTTGATCATTTAGGTCTTTTGTGAATTCTTTGTATTGTGTCATAGTAGCCTTCCACTTTTTAGACACATGGGTCTCCTGCTCGGGCGGACACTGGGCACTGTGGATTAGCATATTTAGAGTACATTGCAACAGTTGACTATTCAGTGTGTGAAGTGGTGAAATTTACTCTATTATTTCTAAACACTTACAGGAACGGTGCTCCTGTCAACCAGTCAGCAATCTATTGCAAGCTTCTGTGTCCAATAAGTTACCAATTAATTGGCTCCTACAATTGTTGTATAGTTTACTTCTTGAATGGCTCCCTCTTTAGTAATTTCCTTCCCATTGTGCGGCCCTTTCTGACAACTTCTGTATAACGCTATCAGATAATCACTGTCCTTTCTTTCTCGCCTCACTTTTCTATATCTCTCTAAATAGTTTATTATTCTGCCTTGGTACCTTTTATGGAGGCCAGCTCAGTGGCCTGTCAGTTAAAGGGTAAGGATACATTAAAATCGTCGTTCATTCAAAAGGCTTTGCAGTAAGTGCCCAGGATATTCATTTGTGCACACATACAGGTCCAAGCCTGAAGTGCGTAGCTCTGAAAGGAAAAGCCCTATCTTCCCTGAACAAACCCTTAATGATTTTACATCTCTCTCAGAGCCTGCTCTCTAATGAATGTTGACATTCATGCACGGCAAGACACAGGAATTCTGTTTGTGGTCAGGGGGCTACAACATATTCCCAAGGAAATTAAATTCAAAATTTATTGTGTGACACTCAAAAACTGGCCCAGAATTTGAATGATTCCCTTCAAGCAAAATATAGCTGCCTTTCCCACTGAAAACCAGCCAGGCTTTAGCAAAGCCAAAGCAAAAAGTGCAAATGGTGTTTATGGCTTGCTTTCCCCTGCACCAGAAAGCTGTGAAAGCAAAATTGTTCTTTTGCTCCTTTTTGACAGAAATGCCACAATGTCAAAACTGTGAGCAAAGGAGATCAGAGAGAGACTCCAAAACAGCAGCGTGCCCTGTGCAAAGCCCAGCACAATGGCAACGCCACAGCTCTTCTTTACTTCGACCAGGCAAAAAAGGTGTTCACATAGAATTGACTTTTTTTGTTTAAATTAAGTCAGGTCTATTGCTAAATCAGCTGCATCTCTCTAAGACTTCGTGGCCATGGATTTTTTTATTCCTGGGAATGGATTAAAAGTGGGTTTTTTCCTAAGCTGAGTAAATTCCTGCCTTGGCAGGGGGCTTGGACTAGGTGATCTCCAGAGATCCCTTCCAACCCTAACGATTCTGTGAAATTAACTGGTTATCTAAGCTAAACCAGCTCTGTAGAAGGAACTTCAGGAAGACCTCCCCACGGGAGGAAGCCAGAGATGACAGATACTCTTAGGATCTCCCTGTCCAGAACAAACTCCTCTCCTTCCTCCTGATCACACAGACACAGAGACATGAAAGCGCTTCCGAAATGGCTACAAAGAGATGACAAACCCACCGAGTCATCAGAGAGCCTGTACATGTGCCACATCACTGTCGAGATCTGTGTCATATAAACAAGACCTCGTGATGCTTTGGACAGGAACCATTCCTGCTGAAGGGGAGGGAAAATAACAGGATCTGTTTCCCATTCAGTAGCTCTCATTCTGCCCCAGTGCTGCGTGGAGTGGGTATTTATTTTTGGTGGAAGGCAATGCTGAGCTCAGACCATCCAGACAAACATCGCACGGTGCTATTACATCTTCATTATTGCACTGCTCTATGGAGACAAGTGTTTTGAAGAAGGTAATAAGCACTTATAATTAAGGCAATTATAAAGTAGTTTATTATAGTTGAGCGCTAACATAGAGCTGCCTTGTGTCCAAGAGAACCAAACCAGTGATACTGCGTGTCTGGGGAATCTTTAAAACAGCATCAATCTGATAGTTATGGCTCCAGAGGCAAAAAAAGCAGCTAGTGGCAGAGACAGGCTGATTTTACATGCCACCAGAGGATGCAAGCAAGAGGGCAAACACAGAAGAATCATGCAATTGATGCTGGATACGTGTCCTCATTCCCTGTCAGACAGCTCTGGAGTGGGAAGTCACCCTGCCCATGAGCTGGACTCTGGCCCTTGGAGAGCCACGGAGGTGAAGTCCCACATCCAGGTGAAGTCCCACATCCAGCACAGCAGCATGAGACAGAATTACCCCTGTTCGTGCTTCACAGCCACCTTGGGGAACATGAAGAGATGAGCATCCCAAAAACAACATCACTTGTGGACCACAAGGGCTTGGGAAACACTAAGTGAACCCAACCCAATACCGCGCACACAGGCAGAGTTACAAGCTCTGGAAGATAACACAAAATCCATCAGCTCTTTGCTCAGCACAGGTTTCTGTAGGGCAATGGAAGTGTTGCTCTGAGCAAAATAGTTTCCAAGCTATTATCACAAAGTTAGAACCTAAACCAACCCTTGGAGTAACACAGTCCTTTGCTCTTCATCGCTTGTATGATGCCATCTGACACTACCTCTGGTTTCCATGCTGATTTAAAAACATATCACGAACCCCAGCAGCAAGCATTTGTTTTTTCAGAGCTTCAGACGCATTACTTTAAACGCTCTCTTTCCCTCAAAATGGTTTGAAAACTCCCTGAACAGGTAGCAAGTTTCTTTCAAGTCTCTTTTTACGTGAAATGTGTGTTTGTGTATGATTTTGCTTCTCTAGGCCAACAGTGGTGATGTTTTTGATGCAGCAGCAGAAGATGCTGTCACTTGAGAAAAGATAAAATTATCACCTTTCAAGAAACATTTACAGGTTTAACCAACCCACTTCTCTAACAGCTGAAAACAGGATCTTGGCAGAGAGAAAAACCAGTGTAGACATGAGGATAAAAAGCACTTCAAGCCTACAATTAGCTTTAGCGGGAAGGGAGAGGGTGAATCGCTTGTTGTATAAAATAGTCAGCGGCATCTACCTATTTCCCACATGATGGCTATGGGGAGGAGGAGCAGGAGGAAATCCCAGTGACCCCAGGGCTTACCGAGGCGGCTCCAGGAGACGATGGGCCGGGGGTTCCCCGTGGCAATGCACTCCAGCACCGCCGTCTGGTGCACTGTCAGCGTGAGGTTCTCCGGCCCCACGAGAATCATGGGGTCCTTGTAAACGGTGGAGTGGGAGCCTGCAAGGACAGAATCATTGTTAAAAGGCATCTGATTATCTCTTGTTTAAAGGAAACATCGAGGACTTCACGCATCCTTTAAGTACATCTCTTCTAAGCACATATCCTCTTCCATCAGGAAGTGCAGTGAAAGGACAAGGAGTAATGAGATCAAACTGAAAGAGGGGAAATTTAGGTTAGATATACATAAGAAATTCTTTACTGTGAAGGTGGTGAGGCACTGGCACAAGTTGCCCAGAGAAGCTGTGGCTGCCCCACTCCTGGATGTGTCCAAGGCCAGGTTGGACAGGGGTTGGAGCAACCTGGGATAGTGGAAGGTATCCCTGTCCACGACAGGGGGTTGGAACAAGATCATCTTTAAGGTCCCTCCAACCCAAACCACTCTAGGACTCTAAATGATGTGGCTGGTGTAATCCTCAATAAATTTGAGCTGCACCTGAAACAAAAGGAGCACGATGTTTGCATGACAGTCACACTGAACGTGTTTTAAGTGTGCATTGATATTCCTGGGGAAAACCCGTAAGCCAACTGACCAGCCACAAACAGCCCTGTTAACACAGGGGTATCAACAGAGTAAAGGACCTGCACTGTGAACTGCAGAGAGCAGATGTGCAGGAAAACCATGGTATATAGGGAGGACACAAGATACAGGACAGCGGGAATGCAAATAAATGAAGGAATTCCTTTATCTTTCAGCATTTCAAGCCATAAAGTAATCCACGCAGTCCACAATGCCTAAATCTGTCTCTGTGAGCAGCCTCTCTTGCTGCTGGGTGTCATTTGCTCCAAAAACCCTGTCCTGGGACACAGAGTGATGGAGGTGCCAGTCCCTGATTCCTGCTGAGGATCTTTTTGAGAGGTGATGCTCCTCTGATGACTGCAGCCCATGGGGTTGTCATTTCCCTGCCATTTTCCTGCAGGGAGAGGATGCATCCCATTCCTCTAATTGTGACACATTCACTGCTCACAACACAATCACTAATCATTTATTTGCACTACAGTAGCACCAAGTGGCAGCAACTAAGAATGAAAGCCATCACACAAGATGATGCACAGATTTATAATAAAATAAAATCCAGGCACAGGACTTTTCACTAGACAGGACAAGAGTATGGGACGAAACCACCATCCTGTGTCAGGAATACCACAGCTGAACTCAAATCTTCTGAGTCCTTAAAAAGTGCCTTATCCCTGGGCCAAATGTCTCTGCAGCCTTTACTCCCATTTGTTGGGAGCACGAGAGCAGGAAAACCAATGGATATTCTCAGTTCTCCCTCAGCAAACAGGAACACTGAAAACCTCTGCATTAGTCTTTCTCCCCATCTCCGATGAGAGCTGGGTTACACTCCAGAAATGCTGAGGTCAAGCAGTGTTTAAGGAATTCCATCAATCTGACAGCTGCTGCTGGCAAGAAAGCTCTGTACACCTGTGGAGAGAAATACTTGTGCTGGTCGTGTGCCCCCGAGCAGGAGAGGGGCACAGGGAGGGCTGGGGAGCACAGCCCCTGGCTGGGCTCTGTCGTAGGAATCATCCCACACCGACTCCTCTCCGTGGACTTTCCAATGTCCAAAAAGCTTGTTAAAGAGAAGTGATCCACCAAAAAATATCTGCAGGGGCTTTTCTCCAAGAAAAACATTCTTTTCTTCCTGCACTTTCGAGTGTTATCATTTCTCAGCAGCTCAGGGGCTGGAGTCAGGGCGTTGCAGGGGGATTTCACAGCGGTCCAAGGGCAAACATGGATCAGAGCACCTCGTCTGTTAATTGTTCCTACAGGAGCTAAACAGGGAGCGATAAAGTGACTCCGAGCTTGTGTGTAAATGGGCAAAATCCAAGAAAAATCACCGTGTCAGTGTGACTTAAGAGCTGACTTTCTCTCTAAATGCATTTCACTGCAAGCCATAAAATGCAGATTTTTTGATGAGAACCAGAATGCACAATAAATTCATATGACCGGCTGGTTAACCCAAGAGATCCGAAAAACAATACCTTCCCCTCAGTACCTCAGAGTGCCTTTAAAACCCATGTAGATTTATTGTTCTAAATCACAATACTAAATGTTCATGCTTAGAATAATACGGTATTATCAGTGTATTATATAGCGATTTCAATATTTCAAAACACAGAGAAATGAAATGAATTGTCCAAGGTCACCCAAGAATATCAGCAAACGGGAGCTGAGATCAAAGCAGAATTTATAAAACACACTATTCTGACAATAAAGTATTTTAATAATCTCACTCTGATTTATACTCTGAGTCCTAAGCAGACATTCAGGTTTTGGGGTGTGGGCTCAGCTCCCTGAGTCTGGGTAAACCCTGCCCAGCTCTGGAAGTGGCACTGCTGCTCACCTTCTCCTGCAAAGGCCATGGAATGATTCCGTAGCTTTGCTGCTGAGCCCAATGCCCATGACAGTGCCAGCTCCAGGGGCAGATGGGACAGTGATCCAGCAGGGATGCCGCAGTCAGACATCAGCACCACGCAAAGGGGTTGACCATGCACCACCATCAAGGAGGAGGTTTCCTTCTACAACCAGAACAGCCCTTTGATGCAGGGTTGGGGAGGAAGGAGTGACAAAACGAGGGACTCGTGGCAAGGAAGTGCTGCTGGAGCACAACAGGGGTCAGGGCAGCACAGGGGGGATTTATTCTGAAAAGGAAAAAGGCTCTAATGATGCCCATGGTCCCCAGGGACTCCACCAGCAGCAATCAAGGTGAGGACTGGGAGGTCCTCAGCACCGCCAGCAGTGACAGGCACTCCAGCAGGGACGGGAGCATCGCCTGCCAGATCTTGATCAAAAGGACAGCAGCAGAGAGAGATGCAGCTCACACTGGGAAGGTGTCAGCACAGAGAGGCAGGCAGCCCCTCGGGAGCAGCTCTGCTAAGCAGGCACTTGAAAATAATCAATCAGCAGGAACTGGAAGACATCCCTGTGCTGCTCGCTGCCGGCAGCCCTGCAACCAGGGAGAGGAGGGAAAGCACTGCGAGCAGGCTCCTTCCTCCCCCGCAGGCAGCCACCCTCCTCTTCCTCTCCAGCCAGGGTGTGGCAGTGCCCTGCAGGGCACACAGCCTTCCAGAGCCCATCTTCATCCTCTCCCTCGTCTCTCCCCAGTCAGGGCTTGGCTGGAAACCCCAGGCAGGCAGACTTAGTGCTTCTCTCTGGGCGAAGCAATGGCTGAAGTCGCTGCCCTGTTAGGAAAAGAGGGAGCCCTCCTGCCGTGATGAAGAGCAGAGAGAACCATTCCCTTCACCCCGTAACCCAAGTGGGAGGTGACACAAACATTTGCAAGAATACTGGTTACCCCACCATGCCAAACTCCATGTGCACAGCAGCCCTTACATTAGCTCAGTATTTACCGACACAACACCCACACCAGTGAAACGACGTCTCTGTGCCACCTCTGTGGTTCACCACAGCCTCTGTTGCTGTGCCAAAGCCTGGGGTTCACATGCTAACACATACCTGCTGCCCTGCCTAACAGATATTTGTGTGCTCTTAGCAAACACCACAGAGCACAAACCTTTTCCATGGAGGTTTAACCCAGTGCAACGGGTTTTCCATGCAAATGTCCCATTACAGCAGCTCTGCTGACATGCAGGCATTGAAGCATGATCCAAACCCTTCAACAGACACTTATACATGGTGCCTGTATCCATCATCCAACTGCTTTAAGGAAGAGAAAAAACCACAAATGTTTCACAGACAGGAAACCTGGAAAATATCCATCTGAAACGAGGGATGGTCAGATGAGAACAACTAGTGCTTTCTGCCCTGCGAGAAATAATAACTCAGGCCAGTAAACTGACACAAAGAACTTCACCACGTCGATAATTTACTGTTCTTTTTTCCCTCCACGTGGCTACTGTTCAAATAGATCAAGAAAACAGATAAGTAACAGGCACCAAAAGCTCCCAGGTCTTTCAGAACCAGTTAACCTGCTTTCTTTGCCCGCCAGAGTTGATACACACAGCATCACTCTTCCCTCAGCTTCACCCCATTTCACACGTGCAGCTTTTTCACTGCTGGCAGAGGCTCATCTGACACTCAGTACAGGTGTTAAGTCTCTGCTCCAGAACCACTGGCCAGGCAGCGTTTTGGAGGGTGATGGGGAGCTGTGAGATGTGACTGTAGGCTGACAAGCCTGGGTACCAGCAATTATGTGTATCTGATGGACAGGAGGATCGCAGCTCGAGGGAAAGACCTTTTGCTGCATATAAAAAAAGCTCAAAGAGAAACACACACCCAACCAGCTCTGTGCAGACTTCCCTCGCCTCTTATCTCCAAAGATGTAATCTCCATTTCCATGGGGAATTTGGAATGTCCCCCACTGGAGAGTCACGGATGTATCACCACTGTTGTCACAGGGGAGCACAGTGGGTACCCAGAATCTTAGGGGGGTTCTGACTTGGAGTTCTGCATCTCAGAGCCTACCCTGCCAGCAGGACACAGCCACAATTTGCAATGACTACTTCTTTGGCACTTTTATCTCCCCTGAAGGTAACCCCCAATCCAGGAGAAGGAAGCTGTCCTGTTTTCATACAAGGACGTTGAACAGATGAAAGGCATTTCTAACAGGGCACAAAGGTGTCATTCACTCCTGGCTGCTTGATCATCACACCCCACCTTGGGCAGCAAGAAGCCAAACAGCAAGTATGTGATTTTGGCCTTTTTTGTGGGGAGGAGACCATAAGGCACCAGCATTTCTTCAGCTGAAGCTTTCTGAGGTGAAAACCTCTTTCATTCACTGACTTCAAATGTGGATAAAGAACCAAGTCAAAACTCAGCCTGGGGTGCTCAGGGGTTCTCCTTCTCATCTTCCAAAGGAAGGTTAGCCTGCATCAGTCCACGCAATGCTAATAGCCTAAAATTCCCTCATTAGATAAAGAATTGATCACCCTGTGTGCTGCAATTACTTCCAGAGTGGGCGGGTCTCATAAGGAAATGATGAATCTTCTATGTTTCCAAGAGAATTTATTTAATGTAAAGCTGCTGTAACTCAATTTTCTCACTGTCCTCCCTCTATCCAGAAACTGGCACTAATTTACAGGCAAAGAGACAGATTTATCTGCTATCAAATGGACCGATCTGACAGGAACTAATAACAATCCAGAATACAGGAGGTGTTACGACTGGACAGAGGAATGCCTCTCAGTGCTGTCAGCCTGCAGCTCTCCTAAACGGTCCTGGTCCAGAACAGCAGTGGAAAGAAGACAGAGAGGCAGCCAGGACAGTGCAGCTGATACTAACCTGACACGGTGAGTCGGGCCTCCCGGCTGAACTTCACATTAGCGATATTGGTGGCAACGCAGTGAAATATCCCACTGTCTTCTGCTCTCAGTCCCGTTATCTGGAGAACCCCCTTGGGAAGCAGCGTGTACCTGCGGGAGGAGAAAAGCAGAAACAAAAGCTTGCAAAGCAGGGCACGATGTGGCAGCAGGCTGCACACCCATCCAGGTGAGGCAGGCTGGCTCCCACATCCCAGTGCGGAGGTGCCAACACACCAAGGGATGTGGCCCCCACAGGCTGAGCCCACGCCTGTCACTGCATCAGTACTTTTATGGATACATGAGCCTCTGCTCTTCTTTAACAGAGGGGTACGTTTCCTTTCTTTATCTCCTGCTGCATCCTTGAGAAATGATGACTTTTGCTGGAAGGCTACAAAGTAAATGCTTCCTATTTAACCTGCGGAAAAGCTCTGGCAGTACATTTTCACATGAACACAGCTGACATGGGAGTTATGACGTGGGAATTATCACTCATCAGCTGCAGCACAGTGATCATGGACAAGCATCAGGAGAAGTCTGCGCTCCACAATCCCTATTCCAGGTCCAGCTCTCAAATCCACATGACCTTGAAACCTCACAGGCATGAAAAGGCGTGTTTAAAATAAACACTGAGCAGGCAAATGTAAACATCAATAAATATTTCATATCTTTAAAACACGGGTACATTTAAATCACGCGTGCACACACACATATATGTACACATACATTACAGGTTGCTTGGCAACCACGTGTTTAAATTGGCTGGTGGTAAGCCATTACACCGTGATGAGTTAATAATCCATTTCCGTCTGGAAGATGCAGAATATCTTTTCCATATCAGCATATGGTTAAGTGCCTACAACCTGCTCCCCGTGCCGGGTTCCAAACGTGCGGCTCCGTGTCGGTGGCGGTGTGACAGCAATCAGTTTTACACGGCCCGAAGTTGATTGCAATCTCTCTGGGACTTTAAAATGCCCATTGTTTTGGATGAATTATACCACAAGAAGCCCTCGTTTTTGTTAACAATCTGCCCACAGCATTAGAAGATTCAATTCCAAAGCTATTATCCTGCCTTCAAAGCCTCCAAGTGCAAGACTCGGCATACAAATTTATATACACTTTATACGCAGAAATGCACCAGGCGTGATTAATGCAGAAATCCAATTCAGTTAGAGAAGCAACTCTCATCACCCAGGCTCTGGTGTCAGAGATTAATCTACTGAGCTGACAATAAAAAACCTCCCCAGTAACTTTACTCCTACAAAAAGCCAAATCTGTTCAAAATCAGGACACGAATGTAGCGAAACTGCTCCTAGCCCATGTGGCCCAGGGTTTGGGCAAGGTCCCTGTCCTGGAAGAGAAGTAGCAGGGATGAGATCAGCTTGGAGCTCTCTGGGTTGGAGAAAAGTCTTGACTTCTTGGTCTTGGGAGCTCCTCAGCCTTGGGGTTACCCAGCCTTAGAGAAAAGAAGTCCTAGTCACATTCAAGTCCCTGGCACATCTCTGACCATCTCCACACCGGTGTCCGTGGGATCAAATGCAGAGGATTGATGATGCATGGAGGACTTCATCTGTCCTGCTACATGTCATCAGGATGCCACAAGGCATCAGGCCTTGTTCTCTGACCCCTCCTTCTGCTGATGCCACCTCGGATCAGTCACCCTGCTCTACCACATCCCCAGCTCAGCACCTGTATGAGTAAGAATCCTTCAGAGGAGATCAAGCCTAACAAATCAACCCGGTGCTGGGCTAAAAAAAACTCAGATGAAAAACGCAAGGAAAAACAAAACCTGACAGTTGCAGTTTTCCACAGCAGATTTGGGCCTCTTGGGTCCTTCTACTGTGAGTTCACTGCCACGCTGAAAAGGTCAGGCATTGTTCCAGCCCTCGTGTTTTCTCCTGCCTCCAAAGAACCCAAACACGTTCTGCTGCAGAACTGACATTTTTAAGAATAGGGGCTTTCAGGAAAGTATTTACAGCTTCCTGGTTTTGCCTATTCCCAAGGCACGGGCGTCAATCCGCAATCGAGGTGTGCGGTGACCGATTGTCTCCTGCCATCGGGTGTGCGGCTCCTGAGCTCCAGCTGGGATTCCTGGAGGCTGCCGGCACGGAGCACGCGTTTCCTGCCACCTGTCCCACGCTGCTCCGAGGATCAAACCCTGATGAGGGATGTTTCCGATGCGAAGGGAGCAGCCTGTCAAACACAGGAAGCGGCGACGTGCCGCTCCGGGTCTAGGCTGGGAAGGGGGGCAGCTGGAGTTTCTCTTTAGGAGAACTGCTTGGGATATGGCAGTCCATGGTTCCGTGGGATGCTCTCTGCAATTGCCACACACAAGGGAGTCCACCTGGGAAGGAAAGTCTAATAGCCACAGTGTAATTCAGCACTTGCAAGAGTTCAGTACATGGAAGGTCCTAAGTCACGGATCTGGCTCAGAATAAGTTACACAAAATGGAGCCACAGAGGGATGATGGATGCCAAAGCTACTCAGCTCTTTGAGGATTGCTGGGCAGGTTCTTCAAGCTGGAAAACAAACCTGAGGGAGGGTTGATCATGGAGGATCAGTGCAAGACCTTCAAAATCAGCTAATGGGCTTTATCTACCTCTCCTGGGAGATGGCAGTACTTCTGCATGGTGTTTGGTCAGAGGGAGCCCAGAAAAGCCACAACATTAATGGAAAGAGTCTTCCACGGCAGAAACACTGGTCAAGACCCTCAGCCCAGGTTAGTTGTCTCTGAGCACAACTGAGAAAGCAATAGCAAGCCTGGCCACCTTCTTCCACCTGGAGAAAGGCCAGCAGCACATGGCTTGGACATGTCCTACCTTTCGTTGTCTGTGTTGACTGGCATGCTGTTCTTGTGCCATAGGATGACCGGCTCAGGCAAGCCATGGATCTGGCACTGGAATCTTGCTACACCACCTTCCTCCACCACTGCGTTCTGAGGGTGGATGTGGAAGTCGGACATCGCTGGAAGGCAAAAAGAGAGACAAAATTATTCACATGTGAAGAGAGATCCACAACTGGAAGATGTCAACAACTTCACATGACCTCGAAACACCCTGATTTCCCAATGCTAGCAAATGGGATTGTAATGCAAGAGCAGAAGGCTGGTTTGCAGCTTAGCCTTCTGCATGGACAAACAAGACTAGTGGCAAGTTCTTGATATCTGCCTGCCTCTGCACATTGAACTGATTGACACAACCAGAACAGGTGGCCATGCTCCATGACCCACATGGTCCTCAGTGAGGTCTATGGGAGCAGCAAGATACACCGACACTGCACTGGCATGTATCAGAGGTCATTCTCAACAGCTTGAGCAAGTTTTGGACCTACATCAGAAAAGAGACATAGATTCTTTATGGAGCTGCCAGTGTCTTAGATACATTGTAAATATCCTTCTGATGTGCACAGCTTGATTCCTGAACTCACTTTGTTTAAATACCTTGACCAGGAGAGCTGCCCAACAGCTGGTAAAACCTACAGCCCTTGATTTCCATCTCTGTTTGCAGGTGCTCCCGTTCATTGCATGCTCTGCCTTCCAGCACTGCAGAAGGAACAGCCACATCCCTTCGATGTGGAGCAACAGGGTTCAGCTTACAGAAAGAGCAGCTGCCAAGAGCTCAGCAAAGCGAGGCTTCTGGGGTTGGGACCACCCAACAGTAAATGACACACCCCAGCACGCAGGATAAATACAGACCAGCCTGCTCCAGCACAGCCACAGCTGTAACCATCATGTGGAAAGACTCTGGCATGCTGTTAGAGCTACATAAATAATACCATAATTATTACTATTAATTAATTGGAAGGTGTTGCCTGTTGACTCCGCAATAAACATATTCGAAGCTAATAAACATCCCCGTGGTTCTTTAGCTCATGATTCATTTAAAGTGCTGCATCCACGGGGAGATCTCTCACATTATCCTAGAAAATAAAGTCCAAGAGAGATCCTGCTTCACCGCCCCAGCCCGATGACACCCCTCTCCCAATCAAGAAAGCCTTGTTCCCCTTTTACATGCATCAAGTGTAATGACTGTAGCTCTGCTAAGGTACAAGCTGCCTGTGTGTCAGGGCAGCTTAATCATTCATCTGCAAACTGCAGTTGGGCTCAGGCAGATGGGAGATGGCCATTAGCAATCATACATTAAATATGTGTTGCATTAACCTGCGCTGCTCCCGCAACCACCGCTCTCCACCCGCTGATGGCAGATTTGTTAAACTGATGGAGCAACACGGGGCAAAGCCCTGGTCCCGCACGGCCATAGGGTTGGGATGGGTTTGTAGCCATGAGGGTGGGATGGGCAGCCAGCCCCATGTCGGGATGCACCGATGGGAGCAGGATCGGGGTGGCTGCGCGATGCTCTGGCCAGATGGGAACACACCAGCACAAGGCAAAAGATCACAGAAAATTGTATTTCCCTTTCCCAGGATGAAAGCTAATGCAATTATCCTCTCTGGTAAAGGATGGAGCCCAATGGTGCAATGGCAATTTACCCAATTCACATAAATTTAGCCTTGAAATGAGACTGATCGTGTCCCAGAGCACTCAGCCATGTGGGAAGGAGCCCAAAGGCTGCTGGGGGGTCTCCCACACCAGGTGATCCCTCTTCCAAGGTAGCAAGGGATGCTTCAAAAAATGGGGGATCCAGGGGTGCTTGCAGCAGGAGAGCTCAAGGAAGCCTGCAGGGAGACCCAGGCCAGGGTGAGCATCTTGCAGCCAAAGCATATGAACCCTCACCAAAAAATGAATCCAAGAATTAATGAGAATGACACAAAGCTCTCTAATAAAGAAAAAAAAAAACAGGGATTCAAATGCCTGCAGGAAAATTCCTTTCAAATGTACAGATGCTCAGTGCCGAGGTTTTTCGGTGGCTGACGGGGTTGATAAGAAGAGGGAGGTGTGAATGAGAACAGCCCCGGCACAGACTTCGCTCTGCTGGCTACAGAATTCACCGCCGTTCCTTTATTTCAATAATATCACCTCTTATAGGTAAAACTGCAGCAATAACCTCTACTCTTAAAGACACCAGTATTAATATTTATCATGAATAAAACATGGCAAGTTATAAATAATTCAGTTATGAGGATGTTAAGTAAAATATTACTCTTCAACGACCCTATAATGTGGCTTTGAAGCACAGTTTTATGTTAAATGCCTAGGAAACACTGTGACCCTTGCCAAGACCAGCTGGTTTGCAGAAGATGCATTAAAAATTCATGCACCGAGCTACAAAATGCTATTTTTAAAACAGGCTTACGAGTTTATTTACAGTTGCAGAAACAAAAGACTTTTGGAGCATCCCTTGTAAAACAGCAACAAAACTTCCACGTAAGTGATTAGCTGGTGTTTTCAGCCTGCGAATAAATCACTGGGTGGAAGGAGAGGAGAGGGATAGGAGCTCAACTGCTTTACAGGGCATTGCTTGGAGGGGCTAAGTCTCTGCTGACCCAGGTGAGGTTTTTATATGCCTCCCAACTGACTGTAACAAACTCATGGAGCAGAGTGCTTTGCTCCTGTTTGTCACTTGTCTTTCCTCAGCGAGAGCCAGGACCTCTGTTATCCGCCGGGCACTATTGTTCCAGCTGCCATGGAGAGGAGCTGCGCCAGCCCGGGTGGGGTTGGCCAGCAGCCAGGGAGCTGCAGCTCATTTCTATGCTAATGGCCATAATAATTTTAAAAATAAATACGTGCAATCACAATGTTCACCCGCAAGCTCCTAAGAGGGAAGGCTCTCTCTAATCCATCTGCCCGCGGTCTCCGCTATCCGGCAAGACAGCATCCACGTGCCAACGGCAGGGCTAGTGCTGCCCCAGGCCCTTTTCACCATCATCAGAGGGGGTGAATGCCACCCTGTTCCCATTAAACTTCCCTCTGCCATCTCCAGGTGTCATCAAGCCATAAAAACAACATAAATCACACTCATTGCTCCACACTGACACTCCAAGCCGTGGTGTCTTGGTGCTTCTGCTTCCACCTCACCTGGATATGGCCACGGTACAGAGATTGGCACAGGGCAGGGAGAGACAAAACAAGGGCTCACAGCAGATGAGGAACGGTCCTGGCAGCCCTCCTACACTGCAGGCACGGGAGAGCCTCCTCCCAAAAAATGTTGGCCAAGGCTAGGTTCAGATTGAGCTGTCTACAGCCACATTGACACATGAGGTAGAGGAGTTAATCTTCATCCCTTCTTCTCTCATGTTATAGGATCCTCAGCTAGGAGGAGATTGGATCAGAGGTGAGGCTCTTCCCTAAAGAGAACCCCATGCTTGGGATCATCCACCACCTAACCCCCACTGGGACGCAGTCCCTGATGACACATCCTGTGGATGCAGTGCAGGTGAGCTCTTATGCTCATCCATATTCACAGAGGTTTCATTCTGGGGTCTGCTCTAATCAAAGCACAAACACTCTCTCCATCCCAACAGACCCTGTGGAAAGGCCAACTGAATAAAAATGAAAATAAGTATTGAGTGAAATTTTCTCTACTCCATAAAAAACTAAATTGAAACCATTAGTGGCCAATCCTTTTTTGCTCAGTACAGCATTAGTGTTAAGCCAGAGATTGACCTAGATTTGATATAGAAAAAGAAAACATTAACTTGGTATGTCAAAGCAAATCCCAGGCCTTTAGAATCATTAAAACGCAAACATTGTGCAGGCACAAGGAGAGGAGGAAGACTTGAAAGGTTCAGTGCCAAGCATGGTGTTAGGAGAGCTTTTGGGAAGCCCAGCTAGTTCTGCAATCACATTGCCTTTTGATTTTAAATTACTTATGGGGATACAGAGACCCCATTGGTTCTGATACAGAAGAATGCTGGGGACAGCCAACCATCCTCACCACCATGGATGCCACACAGTCCACAAACAACAGCCCTCAAGTGAAGACCCTTTCTTCACATTTCTGCCACCAACCTGTTTAATTCAAACCTTAAAATGCCTCAAAGTTAACAAAGTATAAGGAAGAAGAGCTTTATGAGATGTGTCTCCAGTACCCGGGCCTCCAGATGCCCCTGCCAAGGGCAGGCTTTGTTAGCTCCTTTACAGCTGAGGAAAGTGAAAATCTGGGAGGCAAATGATTTGCCCAGTGCAAGAGAACAAGCCATGGGCAAGTAGACCCCTTCCAAGATTGGCTTCATCCCGATGATGGTGACAGCTGCTGATTTTCAGACTGAATTTCCCTATTTACTAAAAAATTGAATTTCCCCCGCAGGTGACCAGAAGTCAGGGTTGTTTCTAAAACACGACCACCATGTCAACTAAACCCAAACTTGAACCACTCTCAAATCAGGTTGAGAGCTCCAGCAGAACCAACCTTCACGATCTGTGAGATTTACTGAGCACCCAACTCCTTCCCAAATGTTTTCCCTGCGAGCCACCAGCACCAAGGCAAGCAGAGGGATTAAATTTTCCATTCCCTCTTGGCTTAGGAGACCTTCACCATTAAGTTAGTAACCAGCCAGGGAATATTTTCAAAGAAGTCAGCAGGTGAAGGCTCTGCAGACACAGGTCCCTCATTTGTCCCTTCCACACTCTGGAAATGGAGGATTCTCCTGCAAGAAAGAGCCAGCACAAGAGATGGGGGGCGTATGGACACCACAAATCCCATCCTCTCCTCTCTCCCCCCTGCCTTCCAACAGCGGCGCCTTCCCAAGTCTCTCAGAAAAAAGACACCGCATCTTCTTTCTATACATTTTTTTTTCCTTTAAATTTTAAAAATTGCATTTTTTATGAAGCTAAAATAAAAGCCCATGTCACGCCAGCCCGGTGGCTACTCCAGCTGCAGAGCAGCCTCTGCGCCTGCGAGCCGGCCCTGCGTGTCTAATGACGCTTTTGTGCGAGGTTGTTGCTGAACTGCCATGAGCCCAATTTTGAATGCAAGTTGCTTTGTGCATAGTGAAGCGTGAACAACAGCGCCGCCCATTTATCTATTTAATTCTCCAGGAGTAGCAGGAGCGGGGCCCTCCGCTCA